GCACAACATAAGGTCCTCTAAGGTGCTGGGAGTGATCCCTAAGCACACTAAGGAGTCTGGATGTGGCTCGCTGGTGGAGGACTCAGACTGGATTTGAGCCTCAGCATCATGCAATCACAGGTTGAATTGAACGCACCCACCATGTACTCTAGCCCTCCTCCCAAAATCCCCTCTCCCCCCCCTTCTGTTTCCCTGTCTCCTCTCTTCTCTCTCCTTTCTCTCTCTGACACACGCCTTGAGTTGAACCCAAGCACCAGACCATGTCCTAACCCTCCTCCCCACCATCCTCCCTCCCTCCCCCCCTCACACACACACATAACCACATGTTGAATTGAACCCAAGCACCTGACCACCCCAGCCCTCCTCACCGACACACATTCTCTCTCCCCCCCCTCCTCTCTCTTTCCCCCCTCTCCTCTCACCCATCCCTCCCTCCCCCCTCTCTCTTCTCTTCCCCTCTCCTCTCTCCTCTCCAGCCTCCAAGCCTCCAAGCCTGGCCCCATAGTGGCTGTTGCTCATTAACTGCCTTGAGACTGGAGATCCTCCGTCTCCTGGGAGCTAAGGCGCTATGTCCTCTCATTGCTTTTGAAGATGGCTGGAAGGAATCAGACTCAATTTCCTTCTCACTGAGGTCTAGCAGGGGAAGAGCAGGGTTCTCGGGCCGCCACACACGAGCTTCCCCACCTTGATGAACTGGCTCACCTGTGGAACCCATTGGCATTTAGGTCTTTTTTTTTTTTTTAAGCTTAATCTCCTCAACACTCCACCCCTCCCCATGACTCCAGTATTTCAGACTCTTGCACATGAGAAATCCAAATCTGGGCAAACAAATATAAACCAACTCACTGTGACAAACCCTGGTGTTCAGCTCTTATTTGCTTGGCCTTGTCATAACCCCATTGGGTAGATGTCCAAGGCCAAGATACCTGCTTCGAATGAGGTAGGTCGACCAGTAAATCTTGAGTCTGAACCAGTTGCAAAAAGCTGTTGTGTAGGTCATTTCCTCAAATTAAACCTTGGCATCAACGAAGCTGATATGTTGTAGCACGGTTAACTAAGAAATTGAACAACCATAATCTCTTTTGGATCTTTCAAATCCTTGGGGGCCAGGGATTCATTCAGTTCAGCAATGGAGTGTTTGCTTCGTTGTATAAGGCGTGGGTTCAGTCCCCAGCCAAGGCAGGAAGGATTGCTCCCTGGGGCTTGGGAACAGGCAGTTCAGTGGGTGGGACATCCGCCTTGCAGGCATGAGGCCTCGGGTCTGACCCCATCACTGCTTCACCTGTCAAGCGAGATCTTGGCATTGGTACTCTGTGTGATTCCTAGTACCAAAACTGCCACTGGTAGTGGATCATCCAGACAGTAGCAGTGAACAAAAGGGGGTGGAGGATGACGCTGTGGCTGAAAGTGCCTACAAGCTTGAACTCCCTCCCCTTTCTCCCCCACCCCCAGTTTAATCCCCAATGTCTCCCAGAGGCTCTGCTGTCTGGGACCCCCCAGTGCCAATCAGAGTGCATGGCTGGGGTGTGTAGGGTCTGCAGCGCAAAGGCCCTGCCTCCTCCCATCAGCACCCCAGCCCGTGAACAACAGCAGCAAAGGGAAAAGGAGGCAGGGGGAGGGGGGCAGCAGAGAAGAGCCTTACAGTTCTTAGAAGCACATAGTTGATGAAAATCTAGTACCACTGAAAGTTAGGCTTCGAAAGAACAACATTAGTATTTTTAATTATTTTGGATTGGTTTGGGGCTCAGGGGGCATACCTAGCAGTGCTCTGGGGCTACTCCTGGTGATGCTTGGAGGTCATATAGCCTTAGGATTTTTTCCCAACAATTAAGTATTAAAGTTTGAGGAATAAATTAGCGTATAGATCGCTGTGCATAGTACATCATCTTAGAATATGTAGCTGTTTTGTTTTCATTTGTTCCTTTCTTCTTCGCCCTTGAGTACAAAAATGAAGTGGCAATTAAATGAAGAAAGTCAATAAAAATTTTTAAAAAAGCAGATGAAAATAATATCTTTTTGGACCTGAGGTGAGACTTGGGTAGTAGAGCACGTGCCTGCCTGTGGAGGTAATAAAACATTGTCCCTTCATAACAGCTTACCAGCTTAACCTAGCAGAGTGGCTGCTTTCTCCCTCAACTCTGCAGTGCCAGAAATCAGAGCCAGGGCCTCACGCATGCAGGACACGTTCTCTGCTGCTGAGCCACATCCCTGGAAAGACTTGTATTTACTTATTGATTTGGGGCTCACACCCGGCGATGCTCAGGGGTTACTCCTAGCTCTGCATTCAGGAATTACTCCTGGGGTGCTCAGGGGACCATATGGGATGCTGGGGATTGAACCTGGGTCAGCCTCATGCAAGGCAAAAGCCCTACCCGCTGTATTATCTCTCCGGCCCCAAGACTGTTCTTTTTAACGGGAGGTGAAGGGAGGGGTCAGCTAAGGGAGGGGTCAGCTAACAGTCGTCCTGGCAACTGGGCTCAGTGGACCATGACGTGCTAGGATGAACTTGGGATTCCCACATGTAAAGTATATACTCTAGCCCCTTGAGCCATTTCTTGAACCTGTAGGACTTATGAATAGATTAGCTGGGAGGACCACCAGGTGTAGCCAAATCCCTCTCTCCTCAGAAAAAAGAATAGCTTGAAGGGGCTGGAGAAAGCGGACAGGTGTAAGGAGCTTGCCTTGTTTGCAGCAGACACCAATTCTTTCCCTGGCACTGCATGTTCCCCAAGCACTGCCAGGGTCATTCTAGTACCAGTCAGTATGGGGGGAGGGGGGTCGGGCAAAACAAAGAACAGCTGAGGGGGTAGACAGAGACAGTGGACCTGCGCGTGATACTGGCACCACAGGGTCCCCTGGTAAACACCAGGAGTGAGCCCCAGGCAGACTTGGGAGTAGCCCCCACACACTACCAGATCTGGTAACCCCCAGAAACCAATAGAAAGTAAGATCTCCCACTGGGGGAAAGGCTCATACAGGGAATTCGGGGATTGGTAAGCTGAGCTTTATGAAGTAGGTTTGCTTATGGTCACATGCAAGAAGTAAAGAGATTGTGTTTTTTAGCAAAAAGCATCTAAATCTAAAAATTTTGTGTGATGGTAGAAGGTTATTGTTCCTTAGGATACATAGAAAAAGTTTCCAAATCCTGTCACAAGTCAGAATGTCAAAGTTCTTCAGTTTAGCTACAGAGCCTGAAATAGTTTTGTTTCTTGTTTCTGTTTTTGGGCCACACCCAGCTGTGCTTAGCACTCGCTCCTAGCTCTGGGCTCAGGGAACCATATGGGGTGCCGGGGACATAGCCCAGGTCAGTCACATGCACGGCAGGAGCCTTACCTGCTGTACTGTTGCTCTGGTCCTGTGTTGTTGTTGTTTTTTTTTAAATTAGTTGTGGGGTCTCCACCTAACAGTACACCTGTCCTGGGAGAATTTGGGGACTACAGTGGGCCACACCTACCCGTGCTTAGGGGACATGCAGTGTCAGGGATTGAACCCAGGGCCTCAGAAACGTAAGGCAAGTGCTGTGCCACTTGAGCTACACCCCTAACCCTGATCTGAATATTTTCTAGATTAGGCACCCACTCCCCGTGGTACTGAGGTGGGCCATGGTACGGCCTGTCCCGGTGACTACAGGCTGGATACACAATGTTTGAGCTCAGAAGTACTCGGGAGCACCACTGCCACAACCCGGGGTGCTGGAGGCTCTCACACTACTCTTGGTATAGGTGGGAGTGCACATGTGTGTGTGCAGTGCTGGACATGTAACTGCTCAGGACCTCCCACGTGAGCCATGTGCTGGCCCCCTGGCCTTCGTATGTGAGGGGGTCTTGGGGGAAAGGAGGAGGTGGAAAGGAGATCGGTCCACACCCACAGTGCTCAGGAATCACTCCTGGCTCTGAGCTCAGGGAATCACTCCTGGTGAGGCTAAGGGGACAGTATGGGGTGGTGGAGGTCAGTGCATCCTATTACTTTTCTGCCTTCCATTTAAAGACTTTGATGAAGTCGGTTTGTTTTAGGCTTGGATATTTGTAGGTTCCTTATATTTAGATGGGCTCTCCCTTTTTATGCTCCAGTTTAAATACCATGTTGCAGTATAACGTGCAGGTTGGGGCGGAGGAGTTGTTTTGTTTTGGGGCCACACCCAGCAATGCTCAAGAGTTGCTCCTGGCTCTGCACTCAGGAACCTCTCCTGGCATTACTCAGGGAACCCTAAGGGATGCTGGGGATCGAACCCAGGTTGGCCGTGTGTAAGGAAAGCACCCTCCCGCCTCTCCAGCCCAGGTACAGGAATTTTTTTTTTTTTTTTTTTTTTTGCTTTCTGGGTCACACCTGGCAATGCACAGGGGTTATTCCTGGCTCTGCACTTAGGAATTACCCGGTGGTGCTCAGGGGACCATATGGGATGCTGGGAATCGAACCCGGGTTGGCGCGTGGAAGGCAAACGCCCTACCCGCTGTGCTATTGCTCCAGCCCTAGGTACAGGATTTTTAAGAGATAAACATTTTTAAGAGGTCTACTTGGAGTTGTTGTTAGTGCTGTCACCCAGGCCCCTGTGCTCTCTCATCGGTTTTCTAGAGTTTCCTCCTGCTCCCCAGCTCCATTCCCTGCCTTCCTGGGTCCCACTCCAGACCTGCACCTCAGCCCGGCCCACACAGGGCCTCACAGCGTCTGCCTCTCCCACGGGACACAGACGCTCTTCTCGGGGCTGACTCTTCCCTTACTCAGTTGACTTGCCAAAAACGTATTTTTGTCTTTCAGTTATGACTTTGAAGTACATTATTTACTCCCTTCCAGTTGAAAGCCAGGCATTGAGAGTTTTAATTGAGGTTTCAAACGTCCATGTCTTTTCTTTCTCCACCGAAAGTGCATTTCTTTGGGGTGGTCAGAGGAAGGGACTGTTGTAATGGTTTGGATGAATGTCAGACTCTGTAAGTCCTGAATGGTCAGCAATTTCTCCCCTAAAATCCCCCTTTTCAGTTGTCCTTTTTCTTTTCTCCTTATAGTGGACATTTGGGAGCAATAAAAATAAGAAGAAAGGAAAGGCCAGAAAAATAGAGAAGAAAGGAACCATGAAGAAGCAGGCCAACAAAACTGCCTCCTCAGGCAGTTCGGACAAAGACAGTTCAGCCGAGAGCTCGGCCCCTGAGGAAGGTGAGCGCCGCGGCCCAGGCCGGGAGGGAGCGCTCTGTCCATCCGGTCAGCGAGAGGCCCGGAGCCGCCAAGGCGGGGGGACACCACAGAGGTAGCTGAGAGGCAGAGACCGGCCTGGAGCTGACTAGGCTTCAGCCCCTAGCACCACAGGACGGTAAATAAAGCAAGAGGACAGGTCTGTGTCCACCAGAGCCTCCGCTTCATTGCAGTGGGCCATGACCTTGTAAGGGCCGTGCGTCCTTAGAGGATTTGCAGCAGGATGAAGATGTGCATTCCTGCAGGGTGATGCAGGGCCCAGGAGCCTCTGGGGAGCCCTGGCTTTCGAGACTCCTCGTCCTTCTCTGGTCACCCACAAGCTCAGTGAAACAGGTTCCTGCTGGGAAGCCAGTGATAGAATTTTTGCTGAGACTCGTCTCAGGTAAATTTGTTCTAGGAGTAGAATGATAGCTTTTCATTTCTATTTTCAAAAGTTTCAAAATAGAACTTTTGAAATGTATCCAGGGCCAGGGCAATAGTAAAGCGGGTAGGATACTTGCTTTGCACGTGGCCAACCAGGGTTTGATCCCCATCATCCCATATGGTCCCCCAAGCACCACCAGAAGTGATTCTTGAGTGCCAGCAGTGATTCCTGAGTGCCAGGCCAAGAGTAACCCCTGAGCATCACTGGGTGTGGCCCAAAAATCAAATTATGTTTAGGGGAGCCAGAGAGATGGTACAGCAGGTGGGCCGTTTGCCTTGCACACGGCAGACCCAGGTTCGATCTCTAGCAGTCAGAAGTAAGTCTGACTCAGTCAGAAGTAAGCCCTGAGCATCACTGGGTGTAGCCCCAAAACAAAAATTAAAATGTATGTTTAGGATCAGGAAATAGCACAAAACATTGGAGCACCTGCTTTGCACGTGGCACACTGGGTTCCATCCCTGGCACACATAGTCTCCTGAGCACCTCTAGGAGGGACCTTTGAGCACAAAACCAGGAGCGGCCCCTAAACAGTACTGGGTATGGCCTGCCCCTCCCTTCGCTCCCCCTGGCAAAAGAAAATTATGTTTAGGGTCTGGAGAGAGTGCAGCAGGCAGGGCACTTGCCACAAGCATCTGACTAACCCAGGTTTAATGCCCAGTACCATATATGCCCCTTCAAGCTCCTGTGGGAGTGCTCCCTGAGCACCACTGCACGTAACCCCAAAACCAAATAATAGTGTCAATGATAATAATACTGTGTAGAGGCCAAGGATATGGCTCAGTGGCAGTGGTTTTGCCTTTCATGTATGAGACCCCGGGGTTCCATCCGTAGTGCTGCTCCTTCCCAAGAATTTTCAGCGGTTTTTTGTTTGTTTTTTGTTTTTTAAACTTAAATTGACTTGTATAGAACTGTCCTATCCTGGAATTTTAAGTATCTGCCTTAGAATGTTAGCTCAAACTGAGTCAAGCCCAGTTCTTACTAAGTTTCTAATTTAATTTCACACTCATGTATAATCCGTATTGCCTTTTCCATGTCCCCCTTTGCCCTATCAGGATGGTTTCATTAAGAACTCATTATCGGGGCTGGAGCGATAGCACAGCGGATAGGGTATTTGCCTTGCACACAGCTGACCCGGGTTCGATTCCCAGCATCCCATATGGTCCCCTGAGTACCACCAGGAGTAATTCTTGAGTGCATGAGCGAGTAATAACCCCTGTGCATTGCCGGGGTGACCCAAAAAGTTAAAAAAAAAACTTATTAATCACTTTAATCATTTATTGATGCATTGATTTTTTATGAAATGTGAGCTAATAACTGTAGAAGGAATGATAGTTAGATTTTGAGCTCTTATAGTAGTAATTGATTTGTACTAGAATTGTGAAACTCAGTGTTAAAATTATTGTGTAATGAGGACTGCAGAGAGAGTACAGTGGGTAGTGCACTTGTTTCACACACGGCTGACCGTGGCAATCCCTGGCATCCCATAAGGCCCCTTTAGCACCACCAGTAATACCTGAGCAGAGAACCAGGAGTTACCACAGAACGTTGCTGGGTGTGGCCCCAAAACGAAACAGAACAACAACAACAAAACTGTTGTGTGAAAATATGTTGGGAAACAAGATCTTTATACATCTCCCTATACATTTTCTTAATAATCACCAACCCAAATCCCCCGAACCCCTACCCCATAGAAAAAGAAGCAGGCATTGTCATTTAAAGAGTATTTAAATCATCATATAAGAGTATTTTTGTTGGGCTGGAGTAATAATATAGCAGATAGAACACTTGCCTTTACATATAGCACCTGCGTTCAATCCCTGATATACCATGCGGTTTCCCATTCCCCACCAGGAGTGATCCCTGAGCTCAGAACCAGAAGTAAGCCCTGCTGGGTGAGACTAAAAAAAAATCAAACAGAAATAAGAATCCAGTGGCCTGCAGGACAGATTATTCTAGATGAGGAGTACTAGAGAAAGGCTGCAGGCTAGGAGATGGGAGATCCCATCCTGCTCTGGTCACATGGGCCACCCCAGAGAAGAGAGCTGGGCAAAGTACCCAAAGTACTGCAGGGTGTGGTCTGGAGAGAGGGTCCAGTGGGCAGGCCGCCTACTTTGCATGCAGCTGACCCAGATTTGATCCCCGGCAGCTCATGGTACTGTAGACACCACTAGTAGTGATTCCTGAGTGCAGAGGCAGAGGTGACCCCTGAGAATTGCCTGTGTGGCCTTTCTCCAAACAAAAAACATATCCCAGTGTAGTGTGTGACCCCAGACTAGGTAGACTAGGTCTTCTTTCCTAGCAATAAAGGTCTATATTGGGGCAGTGGGTAAAAAATTAAATATGGACTGTATGTTAGATAATATTTAATCAAGTACTAATTTGTTTGGGGAGTGGGGTTGACCACGTTAGCATTGCTCAGAGCTTAGTCCTCGCCCTGTGCTCTGGGCTCATTCCAAACAGTCCTCAGTCCGGCTTAGGGGACTCTACAGGGCGCCCAGGATTGAACCCCGTGTTGGCCACATACAAGGCAAGTGCTCTGCCCTCTGTATTATCTCTCCAGCCCCTGAATTTTCTGAATTGATCATTGTATAATTGGTTATGTAAGAGACTGTCCATTTTCAAAGTATTTTGGCTTGAGGCATATTTAGGAAATGCTACATCTTACTCTGCTGCAGCAGAATACGTAATGATACACACATGGTCTGGACGTTCAGAGTAAATCGGTGGCGAGGTTGCCTGTGACCCTGAGTAAAAGACACAGTGTGTTCTCGCAGTTCTGTTCTATTTGACTGCCTTCTTGTGTTGGGTTTTTTGTTTCCTTTGTTTGTTTGGTTTTTGATGGTGCTGGAGCACACCCAGCTCTGCTCAGGACTAACTCTGAGCTCTGTGCTCAGGAATCACTCTTGGCGGTGCTCGTGGGACCGTGTGGGATACCAGGGATCAAACCTGGGTCAGCTGCGTGTAAGACAAACGCCTTACCCACTGTATTATTGCTCTGGTCCCTGTGCTATTTTCCAAATGGAAGTGTTGAAATAGAAGAGCATGCCAAGGACCAGAAAGATGGCAGAGAGGTGAGGGTTTGTCCACACCCGGTCTGATTCCCAGCACTGCATGCACATACACCCTAAGCACGGTATAACCGGGGTATTCCTAAGCGTCACCCAAAGGATGCTTTATCCTTGAGGGCCCTGACACTGAACCACTCAACCCTGTTGACCAGGTGTGGGCCCCCTGGACCCATGAGCGTTGTTTGTCCCCCTCCCCCAATAGAATACAAGCAAAAGTGAGATCGACAAGATGTGCAGAAAATATATGGAATGTGCCTTGCATGTGGCTGACTATTTCAGTCTCTGACACCACATAGCTTCCCTGAGCATCACCAAGTATAACTCAAAAAGTAAATAAACTAATCAGTCAATGAAAGGGTATGCTAGGTGGCAGGAGATAGTTCACAGGTTTGGAGCACCTGGTTTGCATGAGGGAGCCCAAGGTTGATCCTTGGCACTGAGCAGTCTACTGGGGATAGCCCCTAGCACACCACCAGGACTGGCCCAAAAAGACAAGAGCATGCTGGGTCCAGGGGTGTACCTGAGCACTGGAGCCCTGAACAGCCCCATGTGCGGGGCTGGTTTTTTATTTCAGCCTAGGTCTCCCTGACCTGTTAGCAGTCTGCCAGAGGCTCACCAGGAGTGATGGGAAATGAAGTTGGGGTGGCCGTGTGCCCCTTGAGCTGGGAGGGCCCCCAGTGACGGCCTCTCTTGCTGGGCCCAGTGTGCGTCTCCATGAGCACTTTGCATTGCCTGATCTTGTGTCTGGGCCTTTGCTGCAGGGGAGGTCTCCGATTCCGACAGCAACAGCTCTTCCTCCAGCTCCGACTCCGACTCCTCCTCCGAAGACGAAGAGTTCCACGATGGCTATGGAGAAGACCTCATGGGTGATGAGGCAGACCGGGCCCGTCTGGGACAGATGACCGAGAAGGAAAGAGAGCAGGAACTGTTCAACCGGATAGAGAAGAGAGAGGTGTTGAAAAGAAGGTGAGGGCACCACTCCCTACTAATGAACAGGAAGCGGGAACAGGGGAGATAGTACAACGGATAAAGCGTTTGCTTTGCATGCAGTTGACCCAGGTTTGATCCCCTGCGTCCCATACAGTCCCCTTAGTACCACCAGGAGTGAGCCTTGAGTGTAGCGCCAGGAGTAACCCATGAGCATCACCAGGTGTGGTGCAAAAACAAAAAAGGTAAAAATAAGTGCAAACTAAATTCCAGACCAGACCAATAATACAGCTTTCCTTGTACCCGGCCAACTTGAGATTGATCCCTAGCACCCCATGTGGTCCCCCTGAGCCCTGCTATGAGTGTTCCCAGAGCACAGAGCCAGGAGTCAGCCCCGAGACCGCTGAATATGACCCAAAAATTAGAAAGAAGAACAGCAGTTTTCCAGAGTTCACATTTAGAGCCCCGTCTCCCTGTCTCGGCGGAATGCAAAACGTGAATCTCTTCTCATTGTTTCTGATAGGTGATTCATTATCCTAACATGTTGGTGGTGGTTTGAGGCCACCCCTGGCAGTGTTTGGTGCACCATGAGGTGCCATGGCTCCTGCAAGCAGAGCTTTACTCTGCGCTATCTCCCTGGCCCTGTTCTTCCCCTCTCCTGCCCCAGTGCCCAGGCCAGATCCTGGACCGCATGTAGGCAAGGCAAGTGTTCTGTCATTGAGCTACTCCCTGGCCTGGTTTTTCTTTTTCTTTTTCTTTTCTCTTGAAAACCCGAATATGAGCTTAGACAGCAGTACGTCAGGTCAGGTGTTTGCCTTGCACGCTTCCAGCCTGAGTTGATCCAGGTATCCCATCTAGTCCCTCAAGCACTGCAGGGTGTGGCCTGAAACAAAACAAAAAGCTCAAATATTCAGGGCTGGGCATATGACTTTGGGGTAGAGTATTGCCTTACATGTGTGTTTTACCACACACACACACACACACACCCCTCCTGTTAAGTTGCTTATAGATACTCAGAAACTTAGTCGTATAACACACACACACACACACACACACACACACACACACACACACACACACACACCTTGTTAAGTTGCTTATAGATACTCAGATACTTTGTTGTATGGCGAAAGTTCTTATCTCCCAGTACTTTCAAGGTAAAAAGGTAAAAATAAAATTGACTCCTATCCCAGGGAATAAAAATCCTCAAAACTAGGATTCTTCCTCCCTGTCCACCTAGCATAAGGAACAAAGGAAGAGCAGCACTTTCTGTGACAGTGGCAGAGAGCCCGCATGTCCCTCTTAGAGACCATATTAAGTATGGCGAATTATCCGAGACAAGAATGTCTGGCTTTCTGTCAGCAGTAGGTAATAGACATTTGTTTTGATGGTGAGTGCTTCCAAGGTTACCTGTGCTGGAACAAACAGGACGTAAGAAACTGTTGTTTTTGCCAGATGGTCGGAGATGGCTTCTCATCTGTATTTCTGAACTGTGGGGAGCATAGCAAGAGATTCTCCTCCAGACCAGTAGTGCCCTGTGACAAAGATCAGTTACTTTGGAGGAAGGAGTGACTCCTTGAAAAGGAGTGATCTCAAACTTGTTTTTTTTAGTTTTTTCCCCTTACATGAGTTAAGGGGCTGAAACAATAGTATAGCGGGAAGGGCATTTGCCTTGCATGCGGCCGACCCAGGTTCGATTCCTCTGCCCCTCTTGGAGAGCCCAGCAAGCTGCCAAGAGTATTCAGCCTGCATAGCAAAGCCTGGCAAGCTCCCTGTGACGTATTCGATATGCCAAAAACAGTAACAAGTCTCACAATAGAGATGTTACTGATGCCCACTCAAGTAAATGGATGAACAACAGAAGGACAGTGCTACAGTACTACATGAGTTAAGCAGTTTACTGATTGATTGATTGATTTGTTTACTTTGCTTTTTGGGTCACACCCAGCGATGCACAGAGGTTACTCCTGGCTCTGCACTCAGGAAATACTCCTGACGGTGCTCGGGGGACCACATGGGATGCTGAGAATCGAACTCAGGTTGGCCACATACAAGGCAAATGCCCTACCCGCTAAGTATAGCTCCAACCCCAATTTACTGGGATTTTTATGATTCTTATTATAATGATCAAAACAATGTTTACCATGATGATAATAAAGACAGTTTCAGAGCCAGGCATAGAAAATTGGCCTTTTTGTTTGTTTGTTTGCTAGCCCATCTGTTTACAGAGCAATATGACACAGATTTTTTTTCTTCAGTCTTTTTCACTAAATGCAGGTCTTTAACGAGATGTCATTTAGTCCTCATAGAAGTCTTTTTATGAAAATATCATTAGTGGGCTAGGAATGGGTTCAGAGTAGAAGGCCTTCCTTGAAGATGTAAACCCTGGATTTTGTTCCCAGCACCACGAAAAACTACACTCCTTAAGCGCCCTGTTTATAGCCGGTGACACTGATAGATGGAGGTGCCATTTGGTAGGTTGATTGTTATCCCCTCTTCTGGGATGCTTGCTTTTTTGGGGGGCCATGCTTGGTGATGCCTGGAGCTTACTCCTGGCTCTGTGCTCAGGACTTATTCCTGGTGTACTCAGGGGCACCATTTATGGTGCCAGGGATTAAACAGGGCTGCCCACTTGCAAGGCAAGCACCTTAACCCCCGGCACTATCTCTGAATCCAGAAGCTTTGCCTCCCGCTGATCTCCCTGATATTCTTGGCACTGGAAAAACAAACCAGAAAACTTAAAATACCATAGAATTCATCCAGTTATTAGCTGTATTGCTGCTGTTGTGGGATCTGCAGTGTTTCACGCTTTCCTTTCTGGGGCTGACCCCAAGGTCTTATATACACAGATATTATCACTCTACACTCGAGCCACAGCCCCAGACTTGTTTTTTTGTGATTTGGGGTTTTTTCTGTTTTTTTGTTTGTTTTTGCTTTTTGGGTCACACCCGATGATACTCAGGGGTTACTCCTGGCTTTGCTCTCAGAAATTACTCCTGGCGGTGCTAGGGGGACCATATGGGATGCTGGGGGTTGAATCCAGGCCTGCCAGACGCAAGGCAAACACCATACCTGCTGTACTATCGCTCTGGCCCCCTTGATTGGTTTTTATACATTCATGAAATTGTGACCATTACCACAGTTACATACTCATGGACATTTTATTTCCTTCCAATTTTACACAACCACTGATGTCCTTTTTATAAGGATTTGTCTGTTCATGAAAACATCTTGAGTTGAGAGGGGTTATGGTAGCGCACTCAGTGGTGCTCAGGGCGTATTCCTGGCTACACCCCTGGTGGTGGGGGTCACTCCTGTTCTGGGCCCATAATAGGTACCAGGAATCAAACTGGGGTTGACTGCATGTAAGATGAATACCTTTACCCCCTCTACTCTCTCTTTCCAGCCCCTAAAACTCCATTTAAAAATACTGTTTCACTTTGCATATAGTAGGCCCAGGTCTGATCCCCGTATTCCACGGTCTCTGAGCACATCTGGGAGTGACTCCAAGCATATTACTGTGTGACACAACCCCCCTTGCAAAGGAAATGTTTTGTTGCATAAAAGCCTGGTTTTGTATGAGGTGGAGGTGGGGTGGGGGAGAAATTATTGCATTTAAGAGAATAGCATGTTTGTTCACGTCTGCCAATGTAAGAGAGGGATTTGTTTTTGGTTTTTTGGCCTTTTGGGTCACACCCAGCGACAATCAGGAGTCACTCCTGACTGCGCTCAGGAATCACTCCTGGCATTGCTTGGGGGATGGTATGGGACGCGGTGGATCGAACCCGGGTTGACCACATGCAAGACAAGTACCCTGCCTGCTGTACTGTCACTCTGGCCCCCAAAGGGTTGTTTTTGAAATATAGCCAATCGCTTTACAAATGTGAAGCAGACTCTCCGTGTCTTTGTCATATTTCTAACAGAGCAGCGTCAGAGTAATCTAGAAGCTGACTTTTTTCCTGTTAGGTGAGGGTTGAGAAAGAGCTGTATGTTGAAAAGTCTAAAGAGGAGTATAACAAAGTTCCGAATATTTTCTCATTTATTTATTCAGGCTTAAAGCTTTTAGGTATTTTTGGTATAACGTGTGTGTGTGTGTGTGTGTGTGTGTGTGTGTGTGTGTGTGTGTGTGTGAGAGAGAGTGTGCGAACATGCACACATGCAAGTATGTGCATGCCAGGGACTGAACCTAGGACTTCATACATGCAAGATAAATGTACTGCCACTGAGTTATGTCAGCAACCCTTATACTCCATATTTGTCAGCGTTTTATAAGGTACATTGAAGTTTCTTAGAGGAGGCTGAAAGGTTTATTAGCTCCATCCCCCTACTTTCTTTCTTTTACCTAATATAAATTGTATCACTTGTATCACTTGTCATCCCGTTGTTCATTGATTTGCTCGAGCAGGTGCCAGTAACCTCCATTCATCCCTGTTGCGTGCTAGCGTAGCCCAATGGCGTAATGGGGGCTCTTTCAGGGTCAGAGGAGTGAGACCCATTATTGTTACTGTTTTGGGCATATAGAATGCATCACGGGTAGCTTGCCAGTGTCTGCCCTGCAGGTGGGATACTCTTGGTAGCTTGCTGGGCTCTCTAAGAGGGAGAAACTGCCTGATATAAATTAATCTTTACAAATATTTCATTACCACCTAAAAACTTCTTTTCATCAGATTTGAAATAAAAAAGAAACTAAAAACAGCCAAAAAGAAAGAAAAGAAAGAAAAAAAGAAAAAGCAAGAAGAGGAGCAGGAAAAGAAAAAAATGACTCAAATTCAAGAATCTCAGGTGGGAGAGACGATGGTTTTCCCTTTTATGAAAAGCCAAACCTTTGTGTGAGAATGTGTATTTCTGTGGGGGCATATTTGCCATCTTACATCAGGTAGTATACAAGACCCATACATGCTGTCTTCAGGTAGATCTCATCAGTCTCTGGCAGAGCATTTCATCATTAGCTTTGTTGGGTAGCTCCTTGGAATATTTATCTCTGTTCAACATTAAAGAAGCTTCCTTCTGCTAGTGGAGCTTCCTCTAAGGGAAAGTTGGTAAACTGCCCTGTTCTTATCAGCCAGATTGGTTCTGTTTACTTGGGTGCATCATTCTGGCCTGGGTAATAAATTCAACTGGGAAAGTGGATCCTTTACATATTCACTGCCAAAGGCTTTGTTGACAGTTACCAACAAACGCTAGCCCTGAGCCAGGTTCCTCTTTAGGAAACCTTGTGTCCCTGGCATTGGTGTTCTCGCTCAGGCAGCCACCCTGGACTGTTCTGTCCCTCTTTGTCCACAAGAGGGTGCTCTCTCTCTTTTAAGGTGTCAGATTCTGCAACCAGTGTAAAGTCAATTTGAGGAACAGAAGGATTTGTGGAGAAAGATAATCTTACCAGCTGTTAGTAAAAAATACCGTCTCAAACCCCCTTCCCTTCACTTCCCTTCCCTTCCCAGGTAACATCCCACAACAAGGAACGGCGTTCCAAGCGGGATGAGAAACTAGATAAGAAATCTCAAGCCATGGAGGAGCTCAAAGCAGAGCGAGAAAAGCGGAAGAACAGAACAGGTGAGTGGGGGCAGCCATGGGGACTGCGGCTCAGCTGATGATTTCACTTCCTGCCACCCGTTTTTCCCCCTCCTTTCTTGTTCTTTGTTAGGAGACACATATGCAGAGTGCTAAAATTAACTTCTGTGACCCATTCGCCAGCCTCAACAGCCAACCCATGGACAGTCTTATTAAAGCTCTACTCCTCAATTCCATCATGTTATTTTGAAGTAAATCCCAGGTTCATTTTTATTTCAACTATAAATATTTCAGTATGCCTCTTTAAGACTTAAGGATTCTGCCTCCCTCCCTCCCTTCCTTCCCCCAACCCCTTTCTCCTTCTCTCTCTCTCTCTCTCTCTCTCTCTCTCTCTCTCTCTCTCCCCCCCCCCTCTCCCTCTCCCTCTCTCCCCCTTTTCTCTCCCCACTCCCTCTCCTATTTCGGGGCTGGGGTTTGAATTCTGGGCGTCACACATGCAAGACCACTGAATCTCATCCTGAGCAGGCAGTAACTTCATTGCAGTTTTAAAATAGTGACAGGCAAGGGCTGGTGAAATAGCCCTGCAGGCTGGAAACTGTGCCTGAAGCTTCAAGTTCACACTTGAGGTTTCACACAAGCCTGCCCATTGCTGTCACCCCACAGTTTCCCCAGGTGAGCCTTGGAAGCCCAGCACTGTCACCTGTGGCCCTAAGGACCTTGAGCACTGTTGGCCTGTCACCCAGCACACATGCACATGCACTTATACACACACACGCGCGCATGCATGCACATCAGAGGCAGGCCAAAATGCAGGATGCCTCTTAGATTTCTAGGCTTGAAACTGGTTCAAGTGTCAAGCCTAGCATTGGCCAAAACAGGTCACGGGATCAAGGCTGACACTTGTCTGTTTGACCTGCCAGGGCACATGTAAGAGGCGTGGGTCCAGAGACAACGAAGAGCTGCAAATGATAGTGATGTGCTCCTTCCAGCAGGATTCGTACCTGCTGCTTCGTGTAGGAGTCCTGGGTTCAGTCCCCGGCAACACATGGTTCCTGAGCCCCCAAATCATTACTCATTGAGATTGCTTAATTCATTATGGAGTTACAAAATGGTGATATTCTCTCTTTATGTACTATTCTGCTTCTATAAAGAGAAACTTGTAATTAGCTATTTTTATTCTAGCAACTATAGGGGATAGGAAGAGCAGAATAACTGGTTGCTGTATATTTTGAATATCCTTGTGAATGCATTTAATGTACTTTATATATTTCAGTCCTTTGCCATTTTTGTGTGTGTTTGTGTGTTTTGATTTGGCGGCCACACACAGAAGTACTTAGGGGGTACTCCTGGCTTTGTGGGTACTCAGTGGTGCCGGGGGCTGTGTGGTCCCCAAATGAAACCGTGCTTCTAGAATGCATGTGCTCACCCCGTTGAATCCACCTCCAGTGCAGGCTTTTATGTTGTTTTGGTTTGGGGGGTCATACCCAGTGGTGTTCTGACACCACAGATGGTGTCAGGATTTAAACCAGGGTGGCTAGTGCCTTAACTTTGATGCTCTCTCTCAGGCCCAGCAATTTTGTTTTTTCAGTTCATTTTTGGGGGGCCACACTCAACAATGCTCAGCAGTTACTCTAGGCTCCACACTCAGAAATTGCTCCCTGGCAGTGTTGAGGGGATCATATGGGGTGCTGGGGATCAGACCTGTGTTGGCCGCATGCAAGATAAGCACCTTCCTCCTGTACTGTCACTCTAGCCCCTTATTTATTTATCTTAAAGAAAATGTATTTAGACACCACAGTTTAGGTAGACATAAAAAGTACTCACATTACTGGGTTGGTGACCTCCAAATGTTTACTGTATTCAGAGCTAAGGTGATGTAAGATGGAACACTTCACAAATGTGAGTGTCATCCTTGTGCAGGGGCCTTGCTAGTCTTCGCCATTTTAGTATATGTGCTGCCCAAAGTGAGTGCAGGGCTAAGATTTTTGTGTTGGTTTTATTTTTCTTACTTAGTTGTGGCCAAACCTGTTGTGTTGGGATCTGGGAAGTCGATACCATACCTCCCCCCAGCCTTGTAGGGTCTCAACATGCCCTGAAGGAGTGCTCTGTCGCTTCAGCTATCTCCCTGGTCCCGAGAATTTCTTCTGTTCCTCACAGCAACCAGCCATTCTCAGCTCATTGCTAGGGGTGCCCGGGGCACCATACAGTGCCAGGAATCGACCCCAGGCCTCCTGCATGCAAAGCATGTGCTCAGCCTGTTGAACTGTCTTTCCAACACCTAGAGTTTTGTTTTGTTTGTTGGGGCAGGAGGTTGGGCCACATCTGTAGGTCACTCTGGAGGCTCTGGGAGAGGTGGGGGTGGGATGTGATGCCAGGGGTGGGTGGAACTGAGATCGGCCGGCGGCAAGGCAGGCTCTTCATCACTGTAGCCTCGTGCCCCCGGCACAGCTTCCTCCCTTAAAACAGCAGCGTCTGAATCCGGGTGCAGTATAGTGCCCCTGCTCCATCTGCATGATCGGTCATTGGGTAGATGTAGCAGTGCTGCTTCAGTCATGATTCTTTGGACATTTGGGTGGTTCTCAGTCTGCTACTGCAGCTGGCCCTGGACATTCATAGTAAAGTGTGGCTGGTGAGATAGCATAGCAGGTAGGGCATTTGCCTTGCACACGGCCAACCTGGGTTCTATTCCCAGCATCCCATATGGTCCCCTGAGTACCGCCAGTTGCAATTTCTGAGTGCAGGTGTGATCCAAAAATTTAAAAAAAAACAAAAAACAGTGAAGTTCTCTTTGAAGATTGACAGTGTCAGGGATTTCCTCCCTTCTTTCCTGTACTTCTTCAACTGTCTTAAGTGTGATGAAAACAGCCGTCTGTCACATGAGAGGGCCTTTCTGCCCATTTTGTGACAGTGTTCCAGCTCTGTTTGGTTTTTTTGTCTCTTGGAGATTGGTGTTTGGCACCCCATTCGATGAATGATTGAAGCTGCAGCGGTCACTCACTCCTAGCCAGGTCGGGGAAGTCGATGGAGTCCCTTCAGGGAGGACAGCCCGGCGTTTTCTGACTGGGCACCCGGGCGTGTCTTGTTTCCTCTCTCTGTAGCTGAGCTCCTCGCCAAAAAACAGCCATTAAAAACCAGTGAGGTGTACTCGGACGATGAGGAGGAGGAAGAGGACGATAAGTCCAGTGAAAAGTCTGACCGCTCATCCCGAACCTCGTCCTCTGATGAAGAAGAGGAGTAAGCCGGGGACTCTCGGTTCTGGTGGGCCGGGCGGGCAGGCCCTTCACAAGGCGCTCTGGGTCCTTTCCCAGACAGGACTTTGCCCCAGGCATCTTTTGCCTCTCGGCCTGCACCCCTGGACTGAGTGTCTGAGGAAGCAGGTTGGAACTTTATGTCACCTCTCGACTGGCTGGGGGCAGGTGTTAATCCTGTCGCCGTGACTGGTTCCCGGGGTGGCAGCCTCGCCTGAGATGCCTACCACTGTTGGGCCGGACCAGGATGCTGGTTGGCTTCTCTGGGCGCCTCCCCGTGTCCCCCGCCCTGTCCATCACACGGACTGTGGTCGTGTGTCAGAAGTCGGTGTTGTCTGTCTTCACGGCTCCATGGGGACCGCTTTTCCCAGTGTCCTTTTGTTTCCCACAGGAAAGAAGAGGTCCCCCCCAAATCACAGCCCGTCTCTTTACCGGAAGAGCTGAACCGGGTGCGATTATCCCGGCATAAGCTAGAGCGTTGGTGCCACATGCCCTTCTTCGCGAAGACGGTCACGGGCTGTTTCGTGCGGATTGGCATCGGAAACCACAACAGTAAACCAGTGTACCGGGTTGGTGTCCCTCTGCTGTGATAATCATCTGTGTTTCTATGTGACTCTCGGGGCCTGGGGGGCATGGTGCCACAAGCTGGAACACATTGTGTATCCAGAAGTATCAGGTTCCATCCCCAGCATCACATTGGTCCCTTAAGCACTGCCAAGAGGGGAGCCCAAGATTACGCTAGAGTGACCCCCAAGCTCTTCGCACTATGGCCTGCCCAACCCCCAGAAATAGGATTCTCAATGGGACCATAGGATATATGTCCCTCTTCACCACCAGTCATGAAACTAATAGAGTCCAACTGAAATTCCTGTGAATGTTACCTGCCTCGTGCCCAGCCCTGTGCCAGGAAGTGTGCTCAGAACCTCTGGGAGCTGAGGGTCTGGATTGAGAAGAGTTGGTTTTTTTTTTTTTTTTTTTTGTCTTTTGAGCTGACCTTTTTGCTTTTTGTCTTTCAAGCTTTTATTTGTTGGGTTTTTTTTTTTTTTTTTTTTTTAGCTTTTTGGGTAACACCCAGCGATGCTCAGAGGTTTTTCCTGGCTCTGCACTCAGGAATTACTCCTGGCGGTGCTTGGGGGACCATATGAGATGCCGGGGATCGAACCGAGGTCGGCTGCGTGCACAGCTAACGCCTACCTGCTATGCTATCGCTCCAGCCCCAAGCTTTTGTCTTTTAAGCTCAGGGCTTACTCCTGGCTGTGCAGTCAGGGATCACTCTGGTGGTGTTCAGGGGACCGTATGGGATCCCAGGGATCGAGCCCGGGTTGGTCGCATGCACGGCAAACAGGCTACCCACTATACTATCCCTCTGACCCCACTGAAAGATAATTGTTCTATTCTCCAGCCACGTAAGGGCAAGAAGGAATGAGGCTGGAGCTTTAGTATAGCACGTTGGCACTTAGCCTTGCACAAGGCCCACTCAGATTTGATACCCGACATCACATGTGGTTCCTCGAGTCCCACTAGGAGTAAGGCCTGAGAGCTGCTGGGTCTGACCAAAACCAAATAATGAAAAGAACAAGAAGGAAGACATTTACGAAGTATTTGTTGCAGGTTGCGTACATTGTATGCTATGTTGTGTGTTTTAAAAATAAGGGTTGACACTGCAAAAAATAGTATTAGGGTAGAATCAGGTCAAGGCGGGTGCTTCTGACAGAGCCTACAGCAGGCCAGCTGCCTGCTCACTGTGCACTGTTTCCTCTGCAGCTGGAGTCGCTTGTGCTTGACTTGGAGCTGTTTGGCTCTGTTGGAGGCCACGCCCAGTGGTGCTCAGGGCTGCTCTTAGCCTGGTGGTTAGGGTCACTCCAATGGCGCTCAGCGAATCCTGTGGTGCTGAGCATCAAACCCAGACCTTGCGCATGACAAGTATGCACTCAGCTTCCTGAGCTCTTACTCTGGCCTTCTTTTTGTTTCCCTTGAGGCATTTCTTGTTAGGGGTTCCAAGGATCAACCCCAGGCTCGCACATGCGTGACAAGCGCTCTACTATTGAACTCCATTCTCAGCCCCAGTCAGTTATATTCAAAACCTGAGAATAGCTGGGCCAGAGAGGTAGTACAGCGTACAGCGGGTCGGGCGTTTGCCTTGCGTGAGGCCAACCTGGGTTCAATCACCGGCATCCCATATGGTCCCCAAGGACTACCAGGAGTAAGTCCTGAGTGTAGAGCCAGGAGTAACCCCTGAGCATTGCTGGGTGTGACCTAAAGAGAAAAAAAGACCTTGAGAATAGTTAATTGTGCTCAGAACATTTGGCAACTTTCTCTTACACTGCATTTAGATAGAGCAGCTTTCTCTTACACTGCATTTAGGTAGAGAACGGGGTATAAAACTCCAGGGGCCTGTTTAGGGCTGGAGCAATAGGACAGTGGGGAGGGCATTTTCCCTGCATGCAACTGACCAAGGTTCAATCCCTGACATTCCATATGGTTCCCCGAGCACCGCCAGGAGTAATTCCTGAGCATCACTGGGTATGGCCCATAAACAAAAGAAAGGAACAAGTCTGTTAGTATCTCTTTGGAGAGGTGAAGCCTCCCACACATTGCTCAGGGGCCACTCCTGACCTGCTCAGCTGTGTGCTGCGTGTGGCAGTGCTTGGGCCCGGGCCTGTGGTGCTGTGGTGCCAGGACTGGGCACCATGCCCAAATGTGAGGTTCTCGCTGCTGCGCTGTCTCCCAGTTCTGCTTTTGGTTTGTTTGGTTGGTCTTTATGCCACACCCACCTGTGCCTGCCTGGGATGGAGCCTGTACCCCACCCCGCAAAGCCTGCACTCCTGCCCTTTGAGGAGCATCTCCCGCTGCGCCAGAGAGTGTTTTTCACCGGTTGGCATCTCTGTCCTTTTTGCTTAGGTTGCTGAGATCACAGGTGTTGTAGAAACGGCTAAAGTTTACCAGCTGGGCGGCACCAGGACGAACAAAGGGCTCCAGCTAAGGTAGGAGAGGTGTTTCTGGGCCCTTTCGCTCCGCTGCAAACAGGCAGGGCTGCTTGGTCTCTCCCGGCTCCTCATTCTGCTGACAGTGAGCTCTGTGTCGTCGCAGGCGGTCAGAGGAGGTGGTAGAATGGGGCGGTGGGCGAGAGCCTCTTCCCAGAGCCCTGCGGTATGTCCACAGGGATAGCTGTGGCACTCGCTCCCCTCACCTCTGGCAGGTGAGGTCCCCGCTCTGGACTGGATTTTTTCTTCAGGAGCAGGAACTTTCCTCTGTGCTAGCTGTGTGCCAGGCATCAGACAGAGGCAAGAGTGAACTGGACACAAATCCCTGCCCAAAATAGACACACGTGCCTGACAATTCTGAAGACCCCCAGATAGGATTGGGCCAAACCAGCTTGCCCCTGGGTTGCATGGCCTCAGCAACCCCAGCCCCTGCAGGGCCCAGGGCCCCACCCACCCCTCCTGGTCCGCTTCTTAAGTGCCGGTTTGAAAAGGAGCAACAGCCCATGCGTCATGACCATCCCGCTAAGGCTTACGCAAACAGAGACTCAAACAGTGTTATTCAGTGTGTGATTCTGTGCATGACTCAGCCTCTTGAGTACATCTTGGGGCTGAGTGCCCATCCCTGTGCCGGCAGCTCCTAGTCACGTCACTTTGCCTGAATGGTGGTCGGCAGGAAGAAGGGCTCTTCTCCCCGAGGGATCAGATCTCCTGACTTGACACGCAGACAGCCACGTAGGGCTGCCTCTCCTCATGCCTCATTGTACCTTGTCTCTCAGAGGCCTTGGTGACATGTCTGCTTGCCTCTGGCACCCACTTTGCTGCTCCACATACTTGCCCATTAGAAAGACCTGGGATGGTGGCGAAGTTGGTCTGCTTAATTTCAGTGCCTCCTCCCAGAAATTATCATAATTTGGTCACTTTGGAGGGGCCCCTTGGTGTTGGAATTTTCCAGCCCTTCCTAGCAGATGCTGAAGGGCAGCTAGGAGGTGAAAAGCACAGAACCGGTGAGCACAGTCTACCTGTAGCTTTGCCGATACCCCCGTGTCCGTGTGTGCAACCTCACCCCCCCCCATCAATGCAGACCGCGTTCTTGGAAACTCTTTCCTGTAGGCACGGCAACGACCAGCGAGTGTTTCGCCTAGAGTTCGTCTCTAACCAGGAATTCACGGAAAGCGAGTTCATGAAATGGAAAGAAGCGGTAAGTGGACAGGAGGCGCCGGGTGCTGGCTACAGCCCTGAGCAGCTCTCCCCAGGACTCCTGCACAGTCACCTCCTCTCCTGCTTTGGTCCAGATGTTCTCTGCCGGCATGCAGCTGCCCACTCTCGATGAAATCAATAAGAAGGAACTGTCCATTAAAGAAGCTCTTAATTATAAATTCAATGACCAGGACATTGAAGAGGTAAGAAGGCGTCGCCCAGGAACCTAGCGGTTCACCCGGGTCTAGAGAAGAGCGTGACTTCTCTTCCCTTCCATCCTGACATGTGGCGCCGAGCTCCTTTGCATGCATGTGAAGGGGTATTACGGTTGCTGCCTTGTTGTCTGTAGTTCATTCAGTTTTTCTCTACTTGCTCACTTAAGTCATAAACCGAAGGAGTTTATTCAAGTTCGGGGGATCTGTATTCTGCTAGGCATTGTCCTTCGAGAGTTGTCTCTCTCCAGAACATCCTGGTAAAATTCTTTGAGGCAGGGGCTAGCCTTACAGGCCCAGTCCCTGACCCTGTGGCTGCTGTTTCCTTGGTGCGTGTTCCTTGAGACCGCCCCAGAGGAATCCCCAGGACCCGGGAATCAGCCTGGTGTCCCTTGGAATGAACTCGCTCACCCTCTCGGGCCTGGCACTGCTCTGGGAAGAGCAACTGCCCATTTTAACTCGCTGCTTGGTCCCCCAAGTGGGCTCCATCAATCTGTCAACAAAAGTAGTTTAGAAATACTTCACTGCTGGTATCTCCTCTCTGGTACAGATTGTAAAAGAGAAAGAAAGGTTCAGAAAAGCTCCACCCAACTATGCTATGAAGAAGACTCAGCTGCTAAAGGAGAAGGTAAGGAGTTGGGCTTGGTCCTCTCCCCGCGCCCCGAGAGGCTGAGGCAGGCATGGTACACCTCCACCTTCGTCCCCCAAGTAAGTGAAGGCAGGATTGGGAGAAGGTGCTTGCTGGACACCAGACACCATTCCTTGTCCCTTGGCCTTTCTGTCCATTGGAGCTGCTCCATGTCCTCACCTTCATGTCTTTTTTGTTTTGTTTTGGGGCCACACCCAATGATGCTCAGGGGTTACTCCTGGCTCTGCACTCAGGAATTACTTCTGGTGGTGCTCAGGGGACCATATGGGATGCCGGGATTGAAACCATGCAAAGCAGATGGCCTCCCCACTGCAGCCCCAGCACCTCCATTTCTAGTCACTTCAGTTTCACATGTGACAAGCTAGACCCCAGAGTGGCGTCAGTCCTGGGGCTGAGCTCACGTGTTGTACCAAGCCTAGCTGCTGTAGGGTCTCACTCTTCACATCGGGTTTGATGAGCTCTGTTAGGGTGCATCAGTCAAGGGGATGCCCATTTGTTTCCCTTCTCTCATTTCTGTAGTGACCCAGTGGCCTTGGTCTTACACGCTTGGTGCTTAAATGCTCTTTCAATTCTGATGCTCGCCAGGGTTTGCACACTTGAGTTATGGTAATCCCAGATAGCAGAACCTCTGGGATTGACCACGGGCAGGTGGGGTGCTGGGGGTAGAAGTCCCAGCCTTACACTTGCAAGACAGGCACTCTGAGCTCTCGCGGGCCCAATGACATCATACGGTTCCCTGAAGCCAGCCGGGAGCTTGTTCGATGTTGTTATTTTATAGAGTAATACCTGTTGAAAGTCGCTGTGATAGTAAAGTGTGTGTACTTACGAAGTTCGGTTTCCATCTTCTTTCCCATCTGCTGTTAGCGGTTTATTTATTTATTTTTGCATTTTGGGTCACACCCAGCAATGCACAGGGGTTACTCCTGGTGCTTCTCCGCGGACCATCTGGGATGCTGGAAACTGAACCTGGGTCGACTGCATGCAAGGCAAACGCCCTACCCGCTGTGCTATCACTCTAGCCCCTCTGCTAGTGGTTTAGCTCGTGAGATAGCTCACGTGCACTGGAAGTCAGGGGCACTTGATACAAAGCCAGTCATCGCTCCAAATTCTCCCTTCTCTCTGCATTCAGGCCATGGCTGAGGACCAGGGGGATCAAGACAAGGCCAAACAGATCCAAGACCAGCTGAATGAGCTGGAGGAGCGGGCAGAGGCCCTGGACCGCCAGCGGACCAAGAACATATCCGCCATCAGGTCTGTCCCAGAACCTGGTTGGGGTGAACGGCTGGCGGTGGCTCACACACCTTCCCCGCACCACCAGGCAGGGCTTGGCCATGTCCTCACTGCGCTGCCCTGGCTCTGCCTGTCTAGGGCCAGGTCCAGTGTCTCCCTCCTTCCTTTCCCAGCCCACTGACTAATCCCTCTTACTCACCCCCAGTTACATCAACCAGCGGAACCGGGAATGGAACATCGTGGAGTCTGAGAAGGCCCTTGTGGTGAGTGAAAGAGCCCCGTTCGCCCCGCCAACTGCACCCAGTTGGAAAGCCACACCAAATCTTCTCAACGTCTTGCTCAGGCTTTTTTCTCTAATTACTGAAGTAACTTAAACATCAAGGCACTCTCTGTGTGCACATAATGATTTATTGATTTATAAGGTAAAGCAGTCGTTTTCTTCCCTGCCTTCCTCTCTCCCAGCCTTCAAGTCTAGAGTCTAGTCTACAAGTGTTTGTCTTCAACAGTTTCCGGCTTTATCTTTTGTTGTTGTTGTTGCTTTTTGGGTCATACCCGGTGGTGCACAGGGATTGCTCCTGGCTCTGCACTCAGGAATTACCCCTGGCGGTGCTCAGGACCATATGGGATTCTGGGAATTGAACCCTGGTCAGCCGCATGTAAGGCAAACGCCCTACCTGCTGTGCTATCGTTCCAGCCCCTGGCTTTGTCTTTAGTTACTTCCATGTCTACCCTGTTGGGTTTTGATTTTGGAGGCCACACCCATTTTGCTTAGCAGCTAATCCCAGCTCCTTGCTCTCGAGGTCACTCCCAGAGGTGCTCAAGGAACCATGTAGTGCTGAGGGTGGATCCTGGGCCTTCTGTATGCATATAATGTGCTCAGTCTCTTGAACTGATATTCTTTGGTTTAGTTTTGTTTTGTTTTAGGGTCACACCTGGCAATGATCAAGGGTTGCTCCTGACTTTGCACTAAGGAATTACTCCTGCCAGTGAGTGCTTGGGAGACCACATGGATTGCTGGGATCAAACCCTAGTGGGCCACATGCAAGGCAAATGCCCTACCTGCTATACTATTACTCTGGCCTCTGTCTTGATGTTCTTAAAAGGAAAAGGTAGATTTAAAAAAATAATAATAAGCGGGGGTTGGGGGGGTGGCTGGGCACAGCAGGTAGGGCTCTCGCCTTGCATCTGGCTGACGCAGTTTTGATCTCCGGCATCCCAATGGTCCCCTAAGCCCCACCAGGAGTGATCCCCGAGTGCAGAGCCAGGAGTCGGCCCTGAGCACTGCCAGCTGTGACCCAACAACCCCCCACCCCACCCCAACAGACAAGAGAGACGAAGTTCTGACTTTGGTCAGGCCTTGCGAACCTTGTATTTCTATGTAAACTTCTGGCAACCAGGATGAGGGGAGGAGGCTGCTCCCTAAGGCGCCCGCTCTTTGTTCCAGGCTGAAAGTCACAACATGAAAAACCAGCAGATGGATCCGTTTACCCGGCGGCAGTGCAAGCCGACCATCGTGTCTAACGTGAGCGCCTAGAGAGGCTGTTTTTAGTTGGGACCTAGATTCTAGGACAGGAGATGAATTCCATTAGGAGATTAATAAAGAAGTTAAAAATAATTGCCTCAAACTCTTGGGTCTGGAGATTTCCTTTTTTATCTTGCTGGAGGAGATCTAGGTAGTGCAAACCTGGTATGGATTTGTGGGCGTCTCTGGACCAGCCCCCTGAGCCCAGGCAGGCCCACAGTTGAGCTGGTTCTAGTCCTGTGCAGGCTTTGGTCCCCCGGCTCGGGGTTGGTGGCCCTCACCGCTCCCCAGCACTTGTCCCTGCTGCTTTGGAGGCAAATGCCACCAAACTGCCGACAGGCTGGGTGCACCGTGGGTACTTGTGAGGGTAGCAGTGGTAGGTGATAGGAAGGAATCTGGTGGTAGGGCTGTGTTGTGTTGAACAGACTCTGAAATAGCTTATTTTCTCTCTCAGTCCAGAGACCCGGCTGTTCAAGCTGCCATCTTGGCCCAGCTAAACGCAAAGTATGGCTCCGGAGTGTTACCAGATGCTCCCAAGGAAATCAGCAAGGCAAGTGCAGTGCCCCTCTGTGGCCGACAGCACTGCAGCTCCTGTGGGTGGCTGGGTGGGGGGGCCTTGGCATTGCCACCCAAAGGACCCTGGGCCCCCCTGTTTACAGCCCTTTCTCATTCCAGTGTTTCATTAACTGCTCAATTTACACTCAAACCCAGCACCCCCCTGAACAGGCAGGCCTCAACTGTGGCTGTAGGCCGCTGGTCTCCACACTTTCTCATCTGTCCACCCTCTCTCTCTCTCGGGACAGAGGAGGAGCACCTGGCATGTCTGTAAGGATCAGATGGCTGTCAAAAGTCGGAGCTCTCGGAAAGCTAAATGTTAAAATGAGAGAAACTGCCGGTGGAGAAGCAGTTTTCTGCCTGAGTCAGGGCTTTCCCCGGGGGACTCAACTGTCCCCAGTAATTCCTGACGTCTTGGGGAAGGAGGTAGCTTGGTGGGTTTTCAATTTTTTTATTTGTTTTGCGGTGCTGGGGATTGAACTTAGGGCCTTGCGTGTGCTCTGCCACTGAGCCACACAGCCCCCTCCTTTGTCAGTGTTGTGTGGGGGCCTTGGGAGCTGCTCTCGGTTGTGCCTGAGATGCCGTGTGGTACCAGGGATGGAGCCCAGGTCCCTTGTGCCAGACGCTGTGCTGGCTGCTCGGGCCCCTGCATGTTGTCACCTGCAGGAACCTCCCCTCTCTTCTTTGCCCTCAGGCTTCACAAGGAAGCCTCGGGTGTCTCTCCTCGTCTGAGAGAAGGTTCTGGAAAGGGCCTTCGTGGGAAGGGGGCATTTGAGAGTGCGCCTTGATGGTCTACGGCTCTGGCAGACATGCTCTCTCTGCCTCCTCCCTCCGCAGGGGCAGGGGAAGGACAAAGATTTGAATTCTAAGTCAGCCAGCGACCTCTCCGAAGACCTGTTCAAAGTGCACGATTTTGATGTGAAGATTGATTTACAAGTTCCCAGCTCAGGTAGGTGAGACCGGGGAGGGCCCGTCTGTGGCCCCCGCCGGCTCCACAACCCTTTTGGCTAGGGGATGTGGTTTCAGGGGAACAGCAGGGTGCGTGCCTCTCAGGGTTTGTGGAGGCAGAGAGGAGAGAAGGAGGGGACAGGCGGGGAGGCCACCCTCGTGGTGAAGCGTGAGGCCGAGAGACCTCGGTGGCACCCTCGATGCCATTTGCTCTTCTTCCCCCTAGAGTCCAAGGCACTGGCCATCACCTCCAAGGCTCCGCCGGCCAAGGATGGGGCTCCCCGGCGGTCTCTGAACTTGGAAGACTACAAAAAGCGACGGGGGCTTATCTGAGCACACCCGGCCTGCTGCTGCCGACTGCATGCCCCACCGCGTGCCCCACTTCCTCTTTTCCTTTCTTTTGCCCTCCTTGGACTGGAGCAGCAGTGGAACTGGGAAGAGACTAAACTGCCAGTCATCTGTACTATAAACCATTTGCTGTATAGACTCTACCCCCCCCCCCCCCCCGTCTGCACCATCTCCCACCGACCCCAAACCCCCGCCCCCAGGCCACCCCCCACGCAGACCTGGGCTCTCTGGGGCTCTCTCCATGTCCTTAGATTTGTGTTTGCCCTCTCCTTTGGTTCTGTTGTTTTCTTTTTTAAACCAGCGCAGTTCGTTGGCCACTCTGCACGCATTCAGTGTTACCGAGGAGCTGGGACTCTCGCTGGCACCCCAGACCAGAGCAGACGCACTCGCTCTTCTTGGCTCTGCTGCCGGGGGTGGGGGGGATCACGGGCCCCCAACCACTGAGCATTCAGCACCTGACCCCTGTGGAGGGAGCCGGGGCCCGGCGTCTGCGGTCCTCCTGCCTCTCATCTTTCTCTTCTTCCCGTCTGCGGAAAAGAGGTTTTCGAACCCAATTTAGTTTCCAAAAAGTGTACATTTGTGGGGAGGGAAGGGGCTCTGTTTGCGAGAGTGCGTGAGTGCCTGTGTGCGCATGTGTGAGTCTGTGTGTGTCTGTAAGTGTGGATTTTTTTATCATTTTTTAAAAATGCAGTACTCTTTGTACCAGTCTGTCATGGGTCTATAGCTGTTTCAGATTTTTTTTCAGCTGTACTTGAGCATCTGAAACTGCAAGAAAGTAACTCATTAAATGTGATTCTTCTTACTAAACAGGCCTGACTGCTGTAGCTGTGTGGCGTCCGGCCCCGCCCCTGCTCCCCCATCCGGCTCCCCATCAGCTCCTCCCGAGAACCCCCATACCCTGTAGTCTGTGTCCTGGCAGCCCCGAGGCCACCCCCAGCAGGTTCCCGGGCTCCGGCCCAAGCTCCGGCTGAATGTAGAGTGTTTCTTCCTGCTACCCCCTCCCTCACCTTGTCTCTTCATAGTGATCCTGTTGTGCTGTTGCGGCAAGAATAATGTTTTGTTTTATTTTTAAGAGAAAAGTGTTCGACATGACTGTGGGGAGAACCACCACAAAAAGGTTTAGGTTGCAGATGTTTCAAATGTGCGATTGCGTGCGTGCATGTGTGTGTGTGTGTGTCTACATATACATACATGTGGTGAGCATATATATTGTGCAGCTGGGGTGAAGCCAGCTAAGACGTGTGTGTGTGTGTGTGTGTGTGTGTGTGTGTGTATGTGTATATGTGTGCGTCTTTATGAAATGTTTGAAAAGAGATAAGCTGACTGCTTGATAATCATTCTCAGGTGTAAAGCTCCAAGTGTAAATAAAAGTGGCATTTAACAAATCTTTTCAGAACAAAGTACAGCTGACTATATATACCTATAACTAAGCTAAAGAAACAGTCGAGCAGCGATTCCCAGCAGAGAGGAGGATTCGAGACTGCTCTCTACTTCTTCACCCTGCCTTTCTGCAGGGAAGAGGGCTGATGGGAAATCATGGAGTTGTATTTAAACATAAAAATGGACTTGGTGACTCTTCTGGGTTTAATAGAGCCTCGGTGTTCCTTTAACTTAGTTTACATGGTTTTTATTTTTAAAAAGAAACAACCACAGCAACGGATGGTCAGCAAACAGATTGTGACCATAAAATCGCTGTGACTGCCCCGAGCTCGGCAGTAGCTGGGACACAGTCAGGTTGAGCTGAGGAGCGGCCATGGACTCATTAAAATCATTCATACTTGAACAGTCCTTGGGCCAGCGGGTTCTGATTGTGCAAACGTGGAATCAAAGGCGTAGACAGGGCCTGGGCTCTGGAGGAGCCCTGCGGGCGGCTGGGACCTCCGATCATGACGAACTGGGACATTTTTTTTCCTTTCTGGTTTTAAAAGACATGAAATGCTAGAACCCATATAATTGCCGGAGTCTTTCTGGTCCACCATGTAGATCTGTATTTAGTTATCTTTGGGATTTGGTGACGTGTCGATGACATTATGGCTGTGTAATAAAATTTTTATTAAAACTGCATCACCCTGTAGCCCCTTTGCCACTACCTCCCCGTGTTCAGCTGCTGAAAGCACGTTCATTGTGAGACACCAGCACAGCAGGGAGAAGAAACAACCAAAGACGACCAACCATCGAAGCACCGCCCCGAGGCACTGGCTTTGGTGACAGGAATCACGATTCGTGTCCCAACTCAGCTGCACCAGGGCCAGGGAACCGAAATCATGGCCTGGCAGAGTCCTGGGCAGCTGGGGCCATGGGGGCTCACAGTGTTTTCTTGTGCCGGGGGCTGCTGTGGTGGTCCTCCACTCCAGGCCCACCTCCCCGCTGTCTCTAGCTGAAGGGGTGTGGCACTTAAGGCTGTTTTACTCCTTTTTCACTTCCAAGGACTGGAAAGGTCAGTGTCCATCGGCCTAACTCCTGCTGTAGGTAGATCTGTTTGCCTGTCTTGCCTCTAACAGGTCCAGGGAAAGTATTGCCTGCACCTTCCCTTTAAAACTTACGCTTCTGTTTCTGTCAAGTCCCAGCCTGTTGTTCAAACTGTACAGATATTTGTAAATAAACTTTATGCCCTGTTTTAAAAAAGGGGTTGGACTTACCCAGGCTTGCGTGCGGAGCCGTGAGTCTGTCACGCTTTCAGAGTCAGCGGAGCCTCCCGTTCGACTTCTAGCCCTCCCAGCCCCCTCTGCAGTGGCCGTGGCTGCATTGGCCCAGTAGTCCAGCTCCACAGAGGCCTGGGGGGTGGGGGGGGTACGGAGCCATAGCTGCCTCCACTTGGTCTGGTTTCACAGAATGGTCTTTCATACTGGCTGCTTCTGCACAGCCCTGCCCTCTTCTCTCCCCATGCTGAGTGAAGGGGGAACCCGGCATCGAGTGACGTCAGTGCAGCTAAGGAGGAAATACTGATCTTCCCTCAGGGAGGGAGGCGAGGAAAGGCTAGGCATGTTCTCACCTTTTAGCTGCAATCCAAACCTTTTAGGACGAGGGAGCTGGGTGGTGAGCAGCAAGAGCCCAGTCTCAGCCCAGTGTTGGCAAGGGTTGTTCCATTGGGGTTTGCTCCAACTCGTCTCTTCCTGTTGGGCACAGGGAGTGCCTGGGCCCTTGAGAGCAGGGATTCTGGGCTGAAGACTCAGGGACTGGGCAGCTACTTACTGTCTTGCTCGGGGGAGATGGGTACTAACCCCCAGAAGACACAAGGTTGGTCTAGGGTGCAGGAACTTCCTTCCCATAGTTCTTAGCAACAGTGCCTCTCATTCTCAAGCCACAAAATCCCAGCTCAGATTTTTCTTCTCTGATACTGGGCACCAAAGGGGTGCCCAGGAAGGAGAGTTCAGGGTGAGGGCTGGAGGAACAGCAGAGGTTCCCTGAGCCAGCCCCAGTGTAGTAGGTGGGGTTTCTTGGCGCCGCCCAAGGTCTTAATCATGACTCAGGTCCCTCTATGGCTTCTATAGAAGGAGCTCTGTCCCTGGGAGAGGCAAAAGTCACAGATTCCCACCCAGTGCCTATCCCAGACACACACACACACTCAATCTAAGGCCCCAGTGGTTCATTTATCTGGGCTTCATGGTCCATATCTTCAAGGTTAGATGTGTCAGGGACTTGTGACAGCCCTCATGTCCCAGGGATGTCTCCAAACACTTGTTAGTGAGCAGATACCTGGGCCTGGAGGAGGCACAAGGTGTGGGTTGGAGGAAGAGTGAGAAATGGGTCCAAACTGACAACAGCCCTGAGCACACACTGCTGAGATCCCTGGTAGCTCTCTGGAGCCAACAACCCTTGCCTGTGGATCAAGCTTCGGTCAGTAGGGCTGGCCTGGGAACAGGATAGGGACCTTGGGGTCCCCCTTCCCCTCATACTCCCCAGCACATCCTCTGACAGCATCTTTCCAGAGCCGCCACCTCCCCTTCAAACTCCCAAGGTCATCCACTGACACCAACCCCTGCAAAACCTGACCTCCTGGCCCATCCAGGGTAGTTAAACCCAAACTGCCCCACACCGGAAACTGTAGAGCAAAAAGATCGGGCCTTTCCAAAAATCTTCAGGATACCAGATAATTTTGCATTTATTTTTTCTCATCTAGCGGTTGATGGCCCTGCTTTGCTTGGCCACTGTACACAAGTCCTCCTCTCTGTGATGCACTGTTCGTCTCTAGAGGACTCTGCCTCCCTCATCAGCTCCCAGTGGGTAGGTCTGCTTCCTACAGGAAGCCTTCCCTGATACGCCCCTCCAGCTGGGGTCTGGGCGCCCTTCCCCCCGTGCGCACTGCATTAACTACATGGAGCAGCTACTATCCCAGGCCCTTTGTTAATGCCCAAGAAGTGCGGAAAAGTCCTGCAGGACTCCGAGGCAGTGCCAGCTCCCCACCTCTGGGTGGGGCCTGAGAGAACCTTCCTGGTGGCTAGGGCTCCTCACTGGACGCTCCTTCAGGCAGAGATGGAGCTAGGAGCTGCACCCACACACCCTTTACCCCCTTGATAGATTTGGAGAGGTTGCCAGTGTAGGGGACAGAGGTCACCTGCACAGGGGCCTTCCTGCACCCTTGCCCTCTCCCACTTGTGGAGGGGGGAGGCGGGAGGGTGCCAGTTCGGAGCTCCGGTCAGGGAGGAGGGGAGCTCACAGGCAGGCAGGCTCGTGGGGGGATGAAACCTTGTTTCTGATGTGTGTCAGGAGAGAAAATGTTCTTGCTGAACACACACAGGCGTGGTGACACATTTTGTTCGTTTTAGAGTGATTCACATGGTGGAGGGTCAGGGGAACAGGCTAGCTCCCTAATCCCGGGGCCCTGTCTCAGCACCCAAGCCCAGAGAATTTCCTGGTCCTTTTGAAGTCTTCAAGGTGGGAGGTGAAACCCCAGACAAGGGACTGGACCTAGGGCTATGGAGAAAGGCTGCTCGTACCCTGGGTCTGGCCCAGTCCTCAACCCTTTCTCGTACACACTAGGTAGAGTGTAGGCATGGCCAGGGTTGAGAGATGTGGCCACAGGGAATGTTGAAGGTCAGGTTTCCAGAACCTCCCTGAGGTCCCCTGGAAAGAAGTAAATGTAGCTAATTAGCCTCCTGGGACCTGGTTCCTCTCTGCTTTCTTTTTACCGGAAAGAACAGTGTTGCATACATAATAGGAGACACCCCTTCCCAGGAAGGAGGCCCAGAGGGTCCAGTTTCCAATCTTTCTGTTCACAGAGCAGAGACTGAATGAAGGAATGAGTGAATCCTTCTGTCTTCCCATACTGGACTCTTCAGTCACAAAGTCTCTCGGAGGAACATAAATGGATGGATAAAGAAGATGTAGTGTACACACATAATAAAATGCTGTTCAGTTCCTCAAAAAGGTAAAATTTGCAGCAAAATGAAGAAACATAAAAGGATTATTCAAAGTGACATAAGTTAGGAGAAAGACAAATATTGGATGATTTCATCTATGTGTGTAACATAATGAAACAGCAGATGAACAGAATAAAATTAAATAAAAATTAAAGTGTGGGCTGGGGAGACAGCTCAGAACTAGAACTGTAGGGTCCATACCTGGCACTGCCGCATGCCCCCCAGCCATCATCAGGAACAGTCCAGGAACATATCAAAAGTAGTCCTTGAGCATGTCCACTGTGACCCAAAGACCAAAAGAAATAAATTGTTTTAAAAAGAGGTGAGCTGGGCTGGAGCCATAGCACAGCAGGTAGGGCGTTTGCCTTGCATGTGGCTGACCCGGATTTGATTCCCAGCATCCCATATGGTCCCCCGAGCACCACCAGGAGTAATTCCTGAGTGCAGAGCCAAGAGTAACCCCTGTGCATCACCAGGTGAGACCCAAAAAGCAAATAAAAAGAGGGGAACTGAAGCAGAACACAATGAGCAGAGCAGTTGCCTTGCAACTAACTGACCCGGGTTCAATCCCTGGCACCACATATGGTCTTCCAAGCCCCACCAGGAGTGATCCCTGAGCACAGAGCTAGGATTAAGTCCTGAGCACCGCTCCATTTGACCCCCCCCAAAAAAAAAAGACAAGACAAAAACAAGGCCAGAGAGAGAGAGTACAGAGGGTAAAGCACTTGCCTTGCAAGTGGCTGACCCTAGTTCAACCCCCAATACCACAATATGGTCCCCCAAGCACAGAGCCAGAGAAAGCCCTGAACACTGTTAGGTGTGACCCCAAAACCAAGACAATAATCAGCGAGCATTAATTGACGAACTGAGTTACCTGAGTAAAGAACTAACGTCAGTTGAGGGGCAGAATTGAGGGGTGGTGTAGTGGGAGAAAAGGTAGAAAGGATCTAATAATGGCTGGTGGTGTTTAGGGGAATATACAAAGAGGGGAAAGGTTGACAGGAATCAAGTCCATGGAAGACACAAAGGTCCTTGGAGCCTGACTAGAATGAGACACAGAACCATCTAGAGGTAGACTTGCCATCCCCTGACACACACACACACACACACACACACACACACACACACACACACACTCAGGTCTCTCTGGAGGAGCATGCTTCCTCCTCCCACCCCCTTTACCAGCCTGATCCACCCTCTCGCATTGAGGAGAGATTCCCTCAGCCCAGGCTGATTCCCCACATCTTCAGGCCTGTGTCTGCCAGAGAGCCTGAGCTTGGTCCTGCTCCCGCTGGGTTCTGGCATGGCCTGTGGCAGACGGGGAGGTGTCAGGGAGCTAACAGGGCAGACAAGGGGCCAGAGCAATAGTACAATGGGTAAGGCACACGGTCGGGCCAGGAGGATGGCTCAGTGACTGCAAGTCCCTGCCTTGCAAGCATGAGGCCATGAGTTCAGTATCTGGTGCCACCTACAATAAGCACGATGGCAGCAGTTGTGCTTTCAGGACCCAAGGTAAAATAGGGGAGTGTGTGGTCTGCAACATGGCCAGGTGTATGTGAGCACCACACTAGGATGTATGAGGCCCCTGGGGTGCACCATAAGTAAAGTATATGATGGTTGAGATGACTGGGACCCGTGGGGAGCACTACAACCAGAGTGAGTGCAACTCCACGAGAGCACTGTACAAGCACCACCAATGAAGTTGTGCGAGTCTCTTCGAACAACATGGCTGAGTGAGTGTCCCAGCCTGCATGTGCATCAGCACTAACAGCAGCGAAGGGCCAGGAGAGAAAGAAACAATAAACTAGAATGTTTTCAGTGCTCCAGTTCATTTTCTACTGTACACAAGAAACTTTTTCTCCACTGACCTGATCTCTTTGGTTTTCTCTGTATCCTTCTATTTATAGCCATTGATTCACAGCCTCAAGGATTGGGGAAACTGAGGCACAAAGACAAGGATCTCAGGATTTAAAAGATAATTTGGGGTGGGGTGGGTCTCACCTGGTGGTGCTCTGGGATTACTCCTGGCTCTGCACTGAGGGATCATACCTGGTGATACTTGGTTGCCAGGGATCAAACCTTGGTTGGCCTCATGCACGGCAAGCACCCGACCCACTGTACTGTCATTCTGGACCCTTGAAAGGTCATTCTTCACTCAATTTAGAGGATATAAGAGCCTCTCAGGGCTGGAGCAATAGCACAGTGGGTAGGTTGTTTGCCTTGCACACGACCGACCCGGTTTTGATTCCCAGCATCCCATATGGCTCCCCGAGTACCACCAGGAGTAATTCCTGAGTGCATGAGCCAGGAGTAGCCCTGAGCATCGCCGGATATGACCCAAAAAGAAAAAAAAAATTAAAAAAAGAGCCCCTTGCCCTATCCCACAGCTCTACTGGGCTCAACCCTGCCCGCCCCATTGGCACCCTTAGGCCTATAGCCTGCAGAAATAGACTCTGCCTTCCCTGGATAAGGGACTGGGGCTGAACTACAGGATGATAATAAGAGTCTGAGCACAACCCAGGGTAAGGAGTCAGGTGGCCTCCCAAGACACTGTGACTCTTCCAGAGAACTGTGTGACCTAGCGAAATTGTCCTAACCCATCTGAGTCATATGACTCTTCTTCTAAGGGCCCACCCCACCCCAAGTCATTGAGGGCCTCGAGAGTGAACTTAAGGGTTGCAGGAAGCCCAGGCTGAATCCCCAGCACTGCATGATTCCCCCAAGCACTGCCAGGAGTGTCCCTGAGCACAGAGGCAGGAGTAGCCCCCAAGCACTACCTGGTGTAGTCCCCCCTTCAATAAAGCCAGTTGTGGGCTAGAGCTATCCCTGCATTCTAGAATGCTTGTTTGCTTTGCACATATGAGGTACTAGGTCTAAAATCAGCCACAGAGGCTGAAGTGATAGAATGGTGGCGCAGGGCATGTACACTGCCTTGTACACTGCTGACTCAAGTTTGATCCCTGGCACCCATATGATCCCTTGAGCCTCGCCTAAGTGCAGAGCTAGGTGTAAGCCCTGAGCACCGCCAGAAGAGGCCCCTCAGAAAACAACAACAAAAAAAAGTAGGAAAAAAAGGAACTAGCCCTGAGTTCTCCTGCGCAGCTGCAGCGCCCCATCCCCAGCCTACTGTCTGTTCTGCTTCCCACATAACCCGGATTCCACCCCCCGCCCCCGCCACACAGGTGCCCCAGTATCTGTCCCCCTGCCCTTGGAAGCAGTGGCAGGTTCTTGATGATGGCCCTAGAACTGCTTCCCCCCCCCCCCCCCCCCCCCGCCACCGCGCGATCCCACAGGACAGACCTTCCTGGACAGACAGCAATAAGGCAAGAGAGAAATAATTGGGGGGTGGGGAGGATTGACTTTGGGCTGTCAGCTCACCCCTTGCACAAACCTTCTGGCTCAGGCTGGCCTCTGCATACCAGGCAGCAGCTAGGGGAAAGGGTGCAGGGACAGATCTTCCCTGCTCTGTCCCCCTTCATGTCCTCCTCTCTTCCTCTTTCCTGGGCTATCTCCCCTGGACCTTTGTTCTTTGTGATGGTTCCCTCTGGAATCCCTCTTTTCTCTCCTGGGCCATGCTGAAGGGACACCAGGGAAGGAAAGCTCCCCCAAGAACCTCCATCAGCACCAGAGGCCACTCTTCATGGGGCCCTGAGCCCCTAGAGCCCCACAGTCCCTCAGCCTCAGTACTCAGGAAGGGGCCCTCTCTGAAGGCATTTTGGGAAAGACAGGAAAAATGGAGAAATACCAACTTTACTCATAGTGATCTGTATCTGGCTGTATCTGAGAAATGAAGTGGTCAAAGGTGCAGGGAATGCCCCAGGGCTGCAGGCATCCCTGCCCTGACCAGATCTCTTCCCAGTGTTCATGAGGGGATGTGGGAGCAGGGTCCCAAAAGTAGAAGTGGGGCTCAGCAGAGCCAGGATACTGCCTGAAACTACACGGAGCTGGGCGAACCAGAGACTGACTCTATCACCCACACTTTAACTCTTTTGGGGGGAGGGGGTTCACATTCGGAGGTGCACTCAGGGCTTTCTCCTGGCTGTGCTCAGGAGTCTGCATATATGGTGCTGGAGGCAGAAACCGGGTCCACTGCGTGCAAGGAAAGGACCCTATCTCTTTGAACATCGAAAATTTGTCTAACTTGGCAGAGATTTTGTGTCTTTTATTCTCGAGACGGACAGGGGGAGGAGGAGGAGGAGGAGGAGGAGAAACAGCCATCCTAGGAGGTGAAATGACTTGCTTACAGCCACACACCGTCGGGAGCGCAACCAGGTAAGGAGGAAGGGCTGCATGGCCCGCGGGGCCACCTGGAGCGAGATGCCGCCCGCGCTCCGCCAGAACACGTGGAGGAGCCGCCTCCTGACCTTGTTCCCCCGTCCGAAAGGAAAGGAAGTGGGAAGTTCGCGGGAAGCAACCCCAACCCTGGGACTGAGTGCCCACGTGGGCGCGCACTCGGAACGTGGCTTCTTGGGGAGGCCAATGGCCTTAAACCCTTGAGTTCCAGGGAAGAGCGCCGAGACTGGCAGGCACAGAAAGGATGGAACTCGGAAAGGTGCTCGGCGCGAGCGCGAGCGCAGGACCAGCTCCTCTCCGGCGGGGCCCGAGCCCTCGGAGCCGGCTGCCAGGGGGCAGCTTCCCAGCCCCGGAGCTGGGGAAAGCCGCGCGGCCCCCAGCGCCTCGCCGTGGGTGGGCAGAGGCGGCCAGGGCCCGGCGGGGGGCGCTGCGCCCTCGAGGTTGGGGCTTCCCGGCACCCTGGACAGGCGTCCCCAAGCCCGGGCGGCAGGGCAGTGGCGCGGCTAGGCCCGCGCTTTCTCTGAAAGTGAAAGGAGTGGGCGGGGGGCGCGGCCGAGGCGGGGCGCGGGCGGGCGGCTCGCAGGCTCCGCCTCGGGGCAGTCCCGAGCCGGGGGCACCCAGCGTCTCCAGTCCCCGCCGCGCCGCGGGCTGGTGGGCTCCGCAGCGGCTCCTGCGCGGGGGAGATGACCCTGCCCGGGGGTCCGACGGGCATGGCGAGGCCGGTGGGCGCGGGGCACTGCAGCCCGGGGCTGGAGCGGGCCCCGCGCCGGAGCGTCGGGGAGCTGCGCCTGCTCTTCGAGGCGCGCTGCGCGGCGGTCGCTGCGGCCGCCGCCGCGGGGGAGCCCCGGGCCCGCGGGGCCAAGCGGCGTGGGGGGCAAGTCCCCAACGGGCTTCCCCGGGCGCCCCCGGCCCCGGTGATCCCGCAGCTGACCGTGACAGCCGAGGAGCCGGATGTCGCCCCGGCCAGCCCCGGGCCGCCCGAGCCCGAGAGGGGCTGGCTGCCCACCGCCGGCTCGTCGCACCTGCAGCAGCCGCGCCGCCTCTCCACCTCGTCCGTTTCCTCCACGGGCTCGTCGCTGCCCGAGGACTCGGAGGACGATCTGCTGAGCGACAGCGAGAGCCGGAGCCGCGGCAACGTGCAGCTGGAAGCCAGCGAGGACGTGGGTCAGGTACGGGCCGCGGGGGCGGGGCCAGGCGGGCGCGGGGGTTGGCGCGGGGGCCCCGGCTCTGGTCTCCGAGCGCTCCCCGCGCAGCATCGGACCGGCGCTGCCGAGTTTGGGGGGAGCCGGGGGTGGGAGCGAGCTCGGCGTCCGGTCGACCCCTCGCGCTCTGACCGTTTATTTTCTCCCCGGATTTCCCAGGTCGGTCGCCGCCCAGGGCTCCGGGGCGTGCAGAGGAGGAGGAATGCGGGGGCCTCCCGGTGCGGCGGCGGGGAGCCGAGGGGGCTCGGCCTGGCCCCGCTAGCTGTCGGGGAGAGAGGGGCGCTCGAGTCCCCGCTCCCCGCCCCCTCCCGGGCGCTGCGGCCCCACCCCCGCCGTTGCCACGGTTTCCCTCTCCTGAGTGGGAGTGGAGCGGCGCTCCAGGCTCTGCTCCCCAGCCGCTGCCGTCTGCTCCGGGCGCCCGCACGAGGCGTGGACGCGGGCAGGGGAGGGGCCGGCGGCCACAAGCTGCAGCGGGGAGCGGGACGGGGCGCTCCCGGGACTCACTGTCCCTCATTAGGTGGCCCGGGAGGAGGTAAAGTGAGGGTGAAAGGGTATGGGATCCGCCCCTGGGAGACTTGGAAGTTCCGGATTTGTCTCGGAGATCTCCTTGGCCAAGCTGCGAGGAAGGGGGCTCGTGCCTACGCTCTTTTGGAGGGACTGGGGGGGGGGGCGTGCGGCGGCACCTTGTACAGCCGTCTGTCCCCCACACCACCCCTGCTTTTAACCGAAGCCCAGTACTTTCAAGAACTCCCGGAGCTCGTTGAGGGCTGACTCTCCGTCCAGGACAGGGATATGCTGGTGGCACGGAGCCGAGGGGCGCCCGGCGTGCTCCGGGGGCTGCGGGGACTGCCCACGAGGGCCCGGGGGAGCTGCAGCTGCGCGCGGTGGCCCGGGCGCTGCGGGGGAGCACTGGGCGCGGCTTGGGCCCCCGCAGCGCTGGGGGCCCCCCACCCCACCCCGCCGCCCCGGCAAACTCTGAACTAGACGGGGCGGGGAAGGGGGGCGGGACAGGGGAGGCTAACGACTCGATCCATGACTCACACACACACACACACACACACACACACACACACACACACACCCCACACCCCACACCGACTTACATTGTTACCCAGAGGCCAGCGTGGTTTGTAGGAGACTCGAGAGGCCCCGAATCTCACAGAGCAGGAACACAGCCCATTTGCAGGTTGAGGGCGCCGGGAGTCCCTCTCTGACTGTCCCCTATGGGGAGGGAGGGGGGCCCTGGAGGGTTTCAAGGCTCCGGGAATGTGGGGCAGTTCGAGGGCCCCTCCCTACCGCCTTGGAAAATCCGGAGCAGGAGCTCTGGGTCCACTCTTCCCAGTGCAACTCTCTGACAGCTGAGAGGCGGTGCCTGCAGGGCACCCCCACCCCCAAAGCTTCCCATTTCCGCCAGGGGCAGGAGGAGGTCCCAGCCCCAGCAGGCTGCCACGTGGAGGCAGCCGCTGAGGGTCCAGACTCCCAGGACCAGTGGCCGCAGTAGCCAGGCCTCTCAGCCGGCTGTGTCACCCTGGCCTTGTGTTCCTGGCTAGAAGCAGCAGCAGATGGCCGCTGAGGGCCCTTCTAGACCCAAGACTGTGTCTCCCAGGACGTCCCAGCACCCCCGCCCAGCCAGCCGGGGCCTCCCCGAAGGCAAACAGCCACAGCGGTGGCAGATAAGCCATGGACTGTTGACAGAGGCCTCCTGCGTCCCAGTGGAAGGGCCCAGTGCGGACTTTGCCTCCACGCCAATTCTGGAATGGCCCTGTGCCCGCCCAGGCTGCCTTCAGGGTTCCCCTGAAGCAGGAAGCAGGGCCCAGGGTCTGGCCGCTGTCCTCTACATTCAGGCCCCAGTGGATAATGGGCCAATGTAGGAGGCTTGGCAGGCTCTACCTGCTCCTGCCTACATGGTACACACATCTCAGGAGAGCCTTCTAGAGCCCCCCACTCCTGCCTACAGAGCCTGGAACTGGAATCCCCTCTACCCTATTCCAGGCAAGTGGAGACAAAGCAGCCTGCCTCTGTTTGGGGAACCTTTCCTCAGCCAAGGGAAGTGTCTGGTCTGAAGAGGAGTTGGGGGGCCCTGTCGCCAAGAGCAGCTGTCAAAACTTAGTCTTCGATCTTGCCAGCCACTTGTATTTATTAATTGTAGGTGTCCCCAAGAGAAGCTGGGAGCCATCAGGGTCCATACTTGGCGGTGACCTGGGAGACTTGTAGTACAAGAATTAGAACTCAGGGTCTCACACATACAAGGAGCCACACGTGCAGCCCTCTGCTACTGCCCTTGCCTACCTCTTAAAACAATTGGGGGGTGTTGCTGTACCAAAGAGAGGAGAGTGTGACACTTGCTCATTTGGTGGGTCATCTTCACCCGTGCTCTCCGATAGCTAAGGAGACCTCGATGCTGTCCTGGCCAGCACCCAGAACTCCCACACTTCACTTTTCCCTAATTATAGAGCCGAATTTAGGTTAGCAGAGTTCCTTTTTAAAAGGCAAAGGCCCCTGGGAGGGTGAAGCCGTGGGTCACTTATACCTGAGTGCAAATCATTTTATAAATTTAAACTGATTGCTCTCACCGCTGCCATCCAGGGAGAGACACTTTGATAGGAGCAATTGGAACATGGGGAGGGGGCTGGGCGGATGGAGCTTTCAGCCAGAAAGTGAGGGCCAGAGCTAGGAAGTGAGAGTGTGAGAATGAGGCCCACAGAGCAAAGGTGCAGCAAAAATCTGGAATCTAGTGTAGCACTGTAGCACTGTCCTCCAGTTAGTTCATCAGTTTGCTTGAGTGGGCACCAGTAACGTCTCCGTTGTGAGACTTGTTGTTATTGTTTTGGGCATATTGAATACGCCATGGGGAGCTTGCCAAGATACAAGGTAGCTTGCTGGGCTTTCTGAGAGGGACGGAGGAATTGAACCCAGGTCAGCTGCGTGCAAGGCAAACACCCTACCCACTGTGCTATCACGCCAGCCTTAGAATCTAGTCTGAACACTGAATGAACACTGTCCTCCTGTTGTTCATCAGTTTTGCTCGAGCAGGCCCAGTAACATCTCCATTTTGAGACTTGTTGTTACTGTGTTTGGCATATTGAATACGTCACGGGTAGCTTGCCAGGCTTTGCCAGGCAGGTGAAATACTCTCGGTAGCTTGCTGGGCTCTCAGAGAGGGGCGGAGGAATCGAACCCGGCTCGACCGGGCTGGCTGCACGCAAGGCAAATGCCCTTCTGCTGTGCTATCGCTCCAGCCCTAGTGTAGCAAAAAAAAAAAAAATAGTGGGAGTCCTCAGGGCCTCCAAATGGTGCCTGGACAAGGAGGGTCTTAGACCCAGCATGCTCTGTTCAACCCCAAGATCGAGAAATTATCACAGGGGCCATCAAAACATATAGTCTGGGGTTGGGTCGATGATAGGGCAACTAGTATAGCAAGTAGGGCAGGGCATTGGCCTTGCATGTGTCCACCCCAGGTTTGATCCCCAGCATCCCAGGTGGCCAAGTAGTCACCCAAGCATCGCCAGAAGTCACCCCTAAGCACTGCTGGGTGTGGCCAAAAAACAAACAAAACACCCTGCAATCTGCTTGCCTACATCTTAGGCCTTTGAAATGCCCAGAGAGCCTTTGATTTTGACTTGATTTCTCAGATTTCTGTGGGGAGCAGGTTAAGTAGGAGAAGAATGGGGCTTTATCTTTCTCCACCCCCTGCCTTTCAGGTGAATTCTCCTAAGAATTCACTTAGGAGCATAATCAATCTGCTGTCTGATACCCACACAGTAAAAGCCTTACCTGCTCAAAAATATCTTCCCTGCCACTGTTCGTGTGCTAGAATCCCCACCCACCCACCCAAGAAAGGCTCTAGGGAGCCTCATGGCATCCAAGCAAGCATTCTGCAGACCTCACATGGGTGGGGGGGAGGGCGGAGAAGAGAGACGGGGAGGGAGGCTCCCTGAGGTAGAAGATGGTGGTGGGTTTCTCGGTGTAGACTCCTCCCCTGTCAGATGCACTGGGATGACAGCAGGGGTGTGAGAGCCCTTTGTAACCTGCATGCCTGGTACCAGTCTTGGTCACTGCTGCTTTTCTCTCCTAGAGCCCTCTCAAAGCTGGGGTGGGAGAGTCCATGTTCCCCCTTTGACCACTACTTGGGTCAGCTGTCATTGGTGCCCTGAGACCATTCCAACCAAGTACAATGGCCCAGGTCTGCAGATCCCAAGTTACCTACCAGGCTCTCCTGCCACCCTCCACCCCGCCCCAGTTCTCTGGGAAGGTGCCATGATGCAGTTCCCTATCTCACCTACCCCAAGACTGGTTCCTCTCTTCCACTAGTGTTGCTGCAGAGCTAGAGATATTTCTCTGGACTTTTTCTCTGAACTTTCTGATTCCCACTGTCTCCTAAATTCCTCCAGGAGGCCCCTAAAATAGAGTGAGCTCCCCAAAACCCACTCCTTTGGTGAAGCAGAGGTGCCCAGCCAATAGAAGTCAGAACACTTTAGACCACCTTGTGGCTGCAAAGCTCTCTCCTGCGGTGTCCTATTGTCCCGAAAGAGTCAGGGTGCTGTGACCTTTGGAGCCACCTGGACTCCAGCAACTGGACCTGGGGAGAGGCCCGGTAGAGAGAGAGCTGCAGCCTGAGTCTGGAAGCCCATGGCAGGGAGAGAGGGGAGGTGACTCCAGTGGGCCTTGAGTCTCTGCCTAAGAGAAGAAGAGTGCCCCCACTTCACGCACTGGCCGGGCATGTGCATCTGATTGGCACCCTCCGCCTCAGTCAAGTGTGGGAAGAGGGGAGAGCCGATGCCGCTGTGTACACATGGCACATACATCTTCCTGGAATTTTACTTGAGGATTCGGAGGCGGGAGAGTTTTATAATAAAACTTGGATTTATTGTGTAGCAGAATGCAAACCTTGTATGTATTTAAAGAGTGAGAATGGGAGTTTTGAAAGAGATGTCATCTCCCAGTGGGCTGCTCCCGGCTACACCCCCAGATACAGATACCTGCGGATTGGACGTATCATCACACCCCAGTGTGCCCTGCAGGGGTAGGAAAGCATGAGCCACAGGTCAGATCAGAGCTGAGAAGGTGCCCAGTACACAGGAAGCAGTCCGTGTGGCCTCATTAAAATAGTGGCCCTGTGCTCCAAGAGGAATCAGATCCACACAGAAACCAGTACTCATCTGACCTAGACAAGGACAGCATCAGGCAGAACCAGTTTCCCCTTGTCTGCAGGAGGGGTTAATGGTCTGCCCCTGCTTAGCCCATTCCCCCCACCCCCACCCCCACCCCATTTCCTCTTTAGCACTCCCTCTGGTGGGACTGGAGCAGCAGTACAGAGGATAGGATGCTTTACTTGGACATGGCCAATCCGGGTTCGATCCCCGGCACCGCCTATGGTCCTCTGAGTCCACCAGAAGTGAGCACAGAGCTGGGAGTAACCTCTAATCATCTCTGGGTGTGGCCCAAACACCAAAATAACAAAACAAAACAAAACAAAAACCAAAACCAGCTCCTTCTGCCAGGGTCTGGAATACTGTATTCCAGCTCTTTGGGGCCACAGCCTGGCCCATCCCAGGGTTGTGGTGAGGCAGCAAACACAAGATTTATTGAGTAAATCTGTGATCTTCTGGGATCAGACACAGTGGGTGGGGAGAAGCTGGTGGGAGAGGGGGGAAGCTGCTGAAAGCTGCTGGGAGATGCTCTCACGGATGACTCACTTTGCTCCTAAGGCAAAGGGTCCACCATTGACAGATGACAGGTCCTCATTGCTGAACCCAATTGTCAAGGTTCACACTTCTGGGTCCAAAATAGGAACAAGGGTGCCCTGGATCTTGCTAACTGGCAAGGAGTGGTATGGAATCCAAAGGTAGCAAGGAGATCTCCACGTGGTTCTTTCTCCAGGCCCTGCCAGGCTGACCTTCCCGACCCGGGCCCTGGCAAAAGCTTGTTTCCACACTTGGCTTTCTAGAGAGATGAAGAGAACTGGTTCAAAGGGTTAAAGTGCTTGCCCTACATATCCCACAAATGCTGGCTCAAATCCTGGCACCATACATGGTTCTCTGAGCACCACTAGATGTGACCCTTTTCCCCCAAATCTTTCCTTTTTAAATTATATTTATTGCCATACCCAGTGGTGCTCAGGGCTTAACTCCTGGCAATGTGCTCACTTCTGGGGATATGAACATGGGGATATGGGCTCTTGGGGTCGAACCCCGGTTGGCTATGTGCAAGGTAAATGCCCTACTGTATTATCGTTCTGTGCCCCCTTCTTTTTTTTATTTTTAAATGAGAAGAACCAACAGTCCCAGATGAATGAATCAATAACCCTGAGTTGTTCTGCTTCTGTCAAGAAATGGGCGGGAAGGCTCATTTACCACTCACAGCCAGTGGGAATGTATGTGTCCCCATTTTACACATGAGAAAGCCATGATTAGACTTGTTCCTCAGGTTCTAAAATCTTCCCAGGAATTGATAAAAATACAAATGGTTGGTCTCACTGTGCACCTGCTCAGGATTTCCCTAGGATCTGGGAAATTTTTTCTTTAAATTTCTTTTTCTTTTTCAACTAACATGCTCAGCAAATGATCCTCATGCTTACAAAATTTTTTTTCAGAGCCCTCCACGGGGCATCTCAGTAGCATATAAAGGCTTTGGCAGCTCTCGAGGGGCGGAATTGCGATGCAAAACTGAGCGCGGTGGCATTAAGTCCAGGGCTCTTTTCAGCACATTGAGACGTTGGATGACTGTCACCTCCCTGTTTCTGTGTCAGAGGCACAATAGAGGTTCTCGAAGCGCGAAGCGCGAGGAGAATGAATAGCCCCAGGCCTCGTGGCTCGCGGAGGGGCGGGGATGCTCGAGCCCCAGGAGGGCTGGCGGGCACTGACGGGCAAACTGCGCCTTGTCACTTTCAGAAAAGCCACTGGCAGAAGATCCGGACCATGGTAAACCTGCCCGTCATGAGCCCCTTCAAGAAGCGCTACTCCTGGGTGCAGCTGGCGGGCCACACCGGTGAGGCGCGGGGCACGCGGGGCAGGAGCCGGGAGGGAGGCCCCGGGCCGGGCTGACCGGTGCCCGCCCGCAGGGAGCTTCAAGGCGGCGGGCACCAGCGGGCTGATCCTCAAGCGCAGCTCGGAGCCCGAGCGCTCGTGCCTGGCGCGGCTCATGGCCGACGCGCTGCGCGGCTGCGTGCCCGCCTTTCACGGCGAGGTGGAGCGGGACGGCGAGAGCTACCTGCAGCTGCAGGACCTGCTGCATGGCTTCGACGGGCCCTGCGTCCTCGACTGCAAGATGGGTGTCAGGTAGGGGGCTCCCGGCGGGGCTGCTGGGCGGGGGTCCGCCTGGGGACGCCTGCCCCCACCCACGCGCACCCCCCGTCTAGGACTTACCTGGAAGAGGAGCTGACCAAAGCGCGCGAGCGGCCCAAGCTGCGCAAGGACATGTACAAGAAGATGCTGGCGGTGGACCCCGAGGCGCCCACCGAGGAGGAGCACGCGCAGCGCGCCGTCACCAAGCCGCGCTACATGCAGTGGCGCGAAGGCATCAGCTCCAGCACCACGCTCGGGTTCCGCATCGAGGGCATCAAGGTGGGCCCGGCACTCCCTCCACTCAGCCCAGCCCAGCCCCACCCAACCGACACTCCCCAAACCGCCGCCTGCGAGCTCCCGCAGAGGCGCGACGGGCGGGGCGAGCTCCTAACACGCCGGGTCCCGCCTCCCGCAGAAAGCCGACGGCTCCTGCAGCACCGACTTCAAGACCACGCGCAGCCGGGAACAGGTGCTTCACGTCTTCCAGGAGTTTGTGGAAGGGGATGCGGAAGTTTTGGTGAGCTTGGGCGCCTGGAGAGGGACAGGTGGCTGTGTGCGACCTCTTAGCAGCGTTCACCCTCCGAGTCCTCCTTGCTTTTAGGTCCCCTCCCTTCTGGGCGGCACCCACCTGGGCCCCGCGGTTTCCTCAGGGCAGGGTTCCTCCGCCGAGCTGGCTGCGCCGGGTCCTAGCGTTGGGGGGCCCAGTTAGCGTTTGCTTCCTTTCACCTCCTCTCCTACCCTGCCCCCTCCAGCGGAGGTATCTGAACCGTCTGCTGCAGATCCGGGACACCCTGGAGGTCTCTGAGTTCTTTCGGCGCCACGAGGTAAGGACAGGCTCGGGACTGGAGGTGGGGCGGGGGCCCAGGTCTGCGTTCTGGAAGGGCTGGGTCCGCAGCGGTGGGGGGTCTGGAGGGCCGTGGCTTGACCCTGTGGGGCCTCGCAGGTGATAGGCAGCTCGCTCCTCTTCGTGCACGACCATTGCCATCGCGCTGGCGTGTGGCTCATCGACTTCGGCAAGACCACGCCCCTCCCCGACGGCCAGACCCTGGACCACCGGCGGCCCTGGGAAGAGGGCAACCGCGAGGACGGCTATTTGCTGGGGCTGGACAATCTCATTGGCATCCTGGCCAGCCTGGCTGAGAGATGAGGCTGTGCCCCCTTCTCGCTGAAAGGGCGGGTCTGGCAGAAAGACTGCGGTGGCAGAGTCCCTGTTGTGCATGCGGGAGAAAGACTGAAACCCGCCGTGCGGGCTGTTTGTGTGGTTCTGCAAGGCCAGGTGCCAACCACGATGGACATACTGCTCCAAGGGCAGGGCTGGGGGGCTGGCACCCATACAAGCCCCAGCTTTTCCAGAGCTGATGACACTAAGGGAGAGGGTGGGGGTGGGGTAGGGTGGGACAGGGGGGTAACTGGGCTTCGTCTTCAGCCTGGCCCCTTTGAGGGGGCCGAGCACCATTCCAGAGAGGTCAGGTTTTATTTTGCAGACACTAGATTTATCGTTCTAACCTCTCACACTACAGTGGCGTCCCCATCCCAATAAAACTGAGGCACCAGTTTTGGCAACCCAGGCCTCATCCCCTCCCTCCTATCCCCTTTCTTAGCTCCCTGGCATCCTTCAAGTCCTCCCAGTTCCCTGAAGGGTAGGAAAAAAGCTCATGTTTTTGTTTTTGTTTTGTTTTGTTTTAATTTTTAAAATTAATTTCTTTTTGAGGAGCTCTTTATTAGGGCAGCAGTAGGACTGGGGGCTGCCCAGGTGAAGGGCCCCTGTGAATGGGAGAGAACAATTCAGAGGATTTCTTTAGGGGTCATTCGACTCCACAGCACACTTGGAGGGGTGGCCTTGATCTGGGCAGTGGCCAGGGGCTTCCCCAGGAGGCCTGGGCTGCTTTCCAGGATGGGGAGTGTGGTGCCTAGCACCTCGGGCAGGCCCGGGCATGCAGCCCCAACTGCAGGGGACAAGGGGCAACGGAACAACAAGCCACCGGAGGCCCAGCATGGCACAGGGGGCAGCTGCTATCCTTGCCACCATCACAGGCCTCACCCCCCAGGGCCCTCAAGAGCCCAGGAGTCATAAGGGGGTTTCTACAAGTTCTGCAGTTGGAGGCCCTTGGATTTTGGGGAGCTTGTGGCCAGAGGAGAACGAGGAACAATGCAGTCTCCTCACCAGCTCTTCAAGCCCCCCAGATTCAGATCTGGGCCCTGTGTGCATGGGAGCCTTCCATGGACCTGCCACTCCCCACACACACACACCTTGTGCTAAAGCCCTTTTCCCATCCAGGGTGACCCCACGCTACTGGCAGCATGAATTTAGCACATTGGAACCCTATATTGGGAGGTGAGAATGTAGGGGTATTTGGCTTATGATAGCCCATCTGATAGAACGGCCAGGCTTCTGGAGCACATCTGAATGAAGATTGATGATGCTCCAAGATGCTGCCCCTGCCTGGGCAGGGGGGCCAGGGAAATAGGACAGGGGATAAGGAAGAGACTCACTTGCCTTGACCCACTTTGATCCCTGGCACCCTGGAGCCCCACCAGGAATAATCCCTGTGCATAGAGCTGGGAGTAAGCCCTGAGCATCACCAGATGAGGTCTCCCCAAAGAAATTCTGTGGAAGGGGTTGGAGAGATGACTCAAAGAGCTGGAGTGCATGCATTGCTCAGGAGACCTAGGTTGGATTTCTGGCACCATATGGTCCCTTCTGGGACCACAGAACCAGGAGGGAACCCCTGAGCACCTCAGTTATGCCTCTCCCTCCATATGTGGAAGGTCTGTTCCTTGGGAAGAGGGCCTCTCTTCCACAGAGGACACATCATTTTGTGCAGGTCTCAGGAACCCAAGGGCATTTCTATTTGGGCCCCAAGGGAGAAAGGAAAACTCTAGAGCTGACATTGGGGGAGAGCCTTTATTGTGGGCCTGGGAACAGAGAGGCCAGCGCTGGGCCTGTCACTTCCCAGCAGGAAGTAGTAGAGATTGGGACTGATTCATGATGGAGGTTAGAACCCAGCAGCATCGCCCCCACAGGGCTGGCCACATCCTGTGCTCATGGAGATGAAAGGAACCATAGCTAGTGCTCCCCCTGCCCAGCCCACCTGCCTGCTCGCTTCCGCCAGGATTCCTCCCACTCCACAGCCTGTAATAGGAATTGTGGGCACTCTATCTGCAGGACCCAGATGAGTGTACCAGTGCCCTACAGGGAGCAGGGGCTCGAATCAGCCCTTGGACCTCCTTAGAGCCCACCCCAGTGCAGGGGTGTGGGAGTGGGGAGTGCTTGAATCATCCCTGCTCGCTGTGCACTCCATCCCCACACACTGAAAGGAGGCTGAGTCTCATGGCGGCCACTGCAGTCATCATCAGAACCAGAGAACCTGTGGGAGGAGGCAGATTTCTGGAGAAAGAATGGCGCCTCCAGGGGAAGCTCCTCTGTTACAGGCCCAGCCTCCACCGTGTCCATGATTCCATGCTGCTCCCCACTTCTAGACAAATGCAGCCTCGCCCTCCTCAGAACCATTATTAAGACTTTACACCTCCCATGGCAATCGTCACTTTGAGATATATATATAGATATGAGCTATAGAAATATTGCCATGTAGGGCTCCCTTCCCACACGAAGCCACTAGTCGCGAGGCCTCCTCGGAAGCAGAACTGTGCGGATGTGCTCTAGTGCCTCTTCGATACCATGTTTTTGGTTCTAAGATCAGAAAAGCCCAGCCCACACAGTCCACTCCTGTGATCCTGGAACTGATGCGTATTAAGTTCTGAAGAACGGTGCAGCCTGGACTGGTGCAAAGGCTGACTTTATACTGCTGGTGTCCTGGTGCATCCTGGCACCACCTGGAGGGCTGGGAGTTTCCCCTCCAGTGGGTTGTAAAGAGGCTGAGACGGAGCGTTTCTGTCTATTTTAGGTGGAGGGCTACTCCCCAGTCAGAACTCACGGAGAAACAAAACATTAGGTCAAGAGAGCCACTTCCCCAGACAGAGACCCCCCCCTTTTTATTTTCTTTTTGGGTCACATTTGGTGATGCTCAGGGCTTACTCCTGGCTCTGCACTCAGGAATTACTCCTGGCAGTGCTTGGGGAAGCATATGGGGTGGCAGGGTGGCAGGGATTGAACCCGACAGAGTGCAAGGCAAATGCCCTCTACTATTACTCAGGCCCCCAGAATCTCCATTCTTTTGCTTGTCAGTTTGGTTTGGGGGCCATATCTTACTGTGCTCAAAGGTCAGTCCTGGTGGAGTCTGGGGATCACATATAATACAGGGGGCTGCACGGCAAATGACTTGCTGTACTATCATCCCACTTGGAGAAAATTTGCATTTCTAACTGAGGCGGTGGACGCTTAGTCTTCAGGGACTGTATACATCTGGAGAACAATTGACTCAGCTCTCCTGCCTTTTTGCCCTGCTCAGCTGGCTGAGCTCTGAGCTCTAGACCTGCTGCAGGGAAGGTCCTGAATGTAAAGGACAGTCTAAGAAGCCCTGTGGGGTTTGCAATTTTGTTGACGTCCTTTTCCGACACTCCTGTGTTGGGGGGGTGTCAAAAAACCCGACCCACCTGTCCAAAGCCAGGAGTCATTTCCCCCGAGGGGCTGCCCGAGCAGTGCTCTCCAAGGACCCCTCGCAGTGGCCGGTTCTACCCGCCTGCTGGGACCCAGCCTCCGCGGCCCGCCACCTCCTCGCACCCGGCCCCAGCGGAGCCAAGGCGGGGTGGGGGTGAGGTACAGCAGGCGGTCAGGTCCGGTCAGAACCCCCTAACCCCCACCCCCCGCTGCAGTTGCCCAGGGGCGCATTCACTTCCCGCCGCCACAAGCAACGCCCTTTCCTGGGCGCGTGATGATGGGTAGAAGCTTCCGGCTCGCCCAGGGATTTGGGTGTGTGAAACTCAGGAGGTTGGGGTCCCGACGCCGAGCGCAGCGGCGAGCCCATCCCCACCCAAACGGAGGTGCCGCCCCCGCTGCCCCCACCCCCTTAAATGCTGCCGCCCTGTGGACCTTGAGCAGGACGGCGAGCACCTGGGGTTCCCGAATTTCTCCGAGGTGGATGCGCCGAGACTCAGCGCTCCCCCGGGTGCGAAACCCGGGGCCTTGCCCGCGCACCGCACACCGTCGCACTCCCACACCGGCGCGCTCTCACTCCTGCCCCCAGGAGGGAAGGCGGCTCCGGAGATTAAGAAAGCCCGAAGATGGCTAGTGCAACCAGACAGCGGGTTCTCGGAGCCTTCGCAGCCGGGAACCCGCAGATCCCGCAGGAAGTAGGAGCGCCCGGGCTCGGGCCGATGCCAGTGCTGAGAGGCGGCACCCTGAGAGTTCTTACCGAGGGTCTTAGGTGCCGTAGTCGATTTGGGGGAAATGCAGAGATGAGTCTGCACACCCCGAAATTAGAATTTAGCGGAAATCCTGCTCAGGACACCCCCATACGCTGGAGGCTCCTGGCTTCCCTTTCCCTTCCCCTAAATAAGATCTTTTTCTAAATTCAGGGAGGTGGGGAGGGAAAGAGATGGGGGGAAATAAACTAAATAGAATTTAACCTCATTTTAGGAGGCTTAACGGATATTGGAGAGGGAACTGGTATGGTAAGTGGGGCCTGGACTTGGCTGAATAAGCCGTAGGGGGACAGGTTAACCCCCGGGCAACCACTGCCATCCTTATTCTAAGCCAGGACCCCTGGGTTCCGCCAGAAAAGACAGGCTGCCTCTCAGGTCCTGTTCCACCTCGCCCAGTGCCCACGCTCACAGGTGCAGGCTGGCACCGGGCATGTCTGCCAGATTGCAGAGATGCGCTGCCCCCACATCACCCAGGCGTGACCTGCGGATGCCCCATATCTTGCCTGGGGCCTTGGGTCCATGCCCACCCTCCACTGGCTCTGAAGGTGAAAAGCCTTGGTGCTCCGTGCCTGGTTGCTGGGAAGGAGGAAATGATCACAGAGCTCTCCCTGTGCCTGTATGGTGAGTCCAGGGAGGAAAAACCCAGAGCTGGGGAGCGAGAGGGGTACAGGGGTTGGCAGCTTGGGCGGGGGGGAGGCTGGCCCCCAGTTTACAGGCTGGGTGCTGACATTGGGCTCCTGGGAACTTGAAGCTGGCAGTGGCAGGCGTGAGGGTGGCAGAAAAGGCTCCTGGGACCATGGCTAGAGCAGAGACTGGCTCCTGAAAGGTGACAAGGACAGGATGGCAGTGGGAGAAGGGAGAGATGAAGTGGGACCAGCCCGTTCCTGCAGCGAGAGCTGGGTACTCCGGGCCTTGAAGCCCCTCACAGCACAGGGCTGGCTCATTTCTGCAGGTCTCAAGTCTGCAGAACTTTCTGAGAGTCTGAACTGGGGGTTCCCACTGAACCCAATCACACAGACGCCCCCTATCCCTTTTTTGACCTCATGAATGGTCCTATCTGCCAGGCTGAGACCCCAGTGCCCGTCCTTCCCAGGTTGTGTGTGATGTGCCCAGGGACGCAGCACTCCCAGAGCAAGGACCAGGGATTCCGGCGAAGGCTGGAGAAGTCATTGGAATGGGTCTGCAGCCCCTTCTCCTGGCCCAGCAGGGTGCCTCTGAGGTTACTCTTCCACTGCCAAATGCATTTCCGGAGGCTCAACTTTAGGAGCAGCCATATTTGATTCACTTCGATTCACAGTTCGCCTTTAACTAACTGGGCCCACGGTTGTAGGGTGAGACCTGGTGGTTGGGTCTATCCACCACTGACAGTGACTTGCGACTTGCAGCCCTTGCTAGGACAGACGGCGGGTTTCCCTGACAGTGACCACTTCAGTCCTGGATACCTGACAACAAAAGGGCTTGGGACAGCTAAGGCCTCACCTAAATGCTGTCTGCAGCCCTGCACCAACCCCTGGCCATCTGGTCTACTGTGAGAAAATGCACAAGTGAATCCCCTGCCAGTCAGTTTAGGTCTCAGGAGCACCCCAGGAACAAGGGACTGTGCCCCTCATTGCTCATGGAGACCTTGATTATTGTGGCATAGTGAGGATGTGGAAAAGCGGGAAGGCTCTTCTAACCCACCCCCAATAGGTCATCTTGACTCAGTCCTTTTGGGCTTGGGGCCACTCAGGGCTTACACCTGGCTGTGCTCAGGGATCAATCCTGACAGCGCTCAGGGGACATATGTGGTGCTGAGGATCAAACCCAGATTGGCTGTGTGCAAGACCTTTTCTAACCTGCTGTATTATTGCTCTGCCTTTCAGTGCATGGTACTGGCTGCAGCCTCTATCCCAGCACCCCCCAAACACTCACCTCCTCATCCCACAGTTTGCTGCCTTGAGTCTGCACAGTCTCTCATTATCACTGGGGAAGTCTGGACCAGATGTCAGAACATTTGGGGGGGAGGTTCGGGGGCCACATCCAGCTGTGCTTCAGCCCTTTCAGCTACCTCTCTCGGCCCAGAAAATTGCTGTCAGCTACAAGCTACCCTACAACTATGAGGGCCACCCAGTGCTCAGTTTCTATAGCTTTCTTGGGTTCTCATTCTTTTGCTCAAAATAATAATTGTGAAGCTTAAGGCCTGCCATTTAAGTTTTTTTAAAAGGTGGGGGAGGTAGTCCTGGCAGCGACATAGGCTTGAGTGCAGTGCTGGGTATAGGTACAGTTTCCGGCAGACGGGCAGGTCAGAGAACAGACTTTGCAAGGTCCCTGGAAACCCTGGCTCTAAGTACAGTTGGTCCTGGGCAATAGTGGCGCGGCAACTGGGAACTTGTTAGAATACTAATTCGTCCTTTCCCCCAATATATATATATATATATATATATATATTTTTTTTTTTTTTTGGCTTTTTGGGTCACACTGGTGATACTCAAGGGTTAGTCCTAGCTCTGCATTCAGGAATCACTCCTGGTGGTGCTCAGGGAACCATATAGGACGCTAGGGACAGAACCTGAGTCAGCCATGTGCAAGGTAATGCCCTACCTGCTGTACTATCACTTCGCTCCCCCTATATTTTCAACTCTAATTATGAAACAAAACAAGCCACTTATATTACTATACATTTTGTATTCACTAATACAATCTCCACTTTCTTCTTTACAAAGTCTGTCTTCTCTAGACAGGGAACATGAATTGTATTTATCTCTGGTTCTCCAAGTCTATTCATAACAAGGTAAAGGTAAGGTAAAGGCCCTCCCGTTGATCGTCGATTTGCTCGAGCGGGCCCAGTAACGTCTCCATTGGAGACTTTGTTGTTACTGTGTCTGGCATATCGAATACTCTCGGTAGCTTGCCGGGCTCTCCGAGAGGGGCGGAGGAATCGAACTCGGGTCGGCCATGTTGGCCGCTTGTAAGGAGGATGCCCTACCCGCTGTGCTATCGCTCCAGTGATATCGCTCATAACAAATCACATATTATTATTATTATTTGGCTTTTTGGGTCACACCTGGCAATGCTCAGGGCTTACTCCTGGCTCTGCACTCAGGAATTACTTCTGGCGGTAGTCAGGGTACCATATGGGATGCTGGGGATACAACCGGGTCGGCTGTGTACAAGGCAAATTCCCTCCCTGCTGCCCTATGGCTCTGGCACTACAAATCACATACTATTGATATAATAGAAAGAAATACTAATTCTCAGGACTGGAGAGATAGTACAGGAGGTAAAGCTGGTCTTGGTTTTTATTCCTGGTAACAGATTGGTCCTCAAAGCACTGCCAGAAGTGATCCCCGAACACAGCCAGGAGTAAGCCCTGAGCACAGACGGAGCAGCCCATAAGCATTGCCGGATGTAGCCTAACCCCCACCACCACCTCCCACACCAATTCTTAGGTTTCACCCAGGTCTACTGAAATCAGAAACAGGTGGTGTTTGTCATAAGTAAAGTTGAGAACTATTTTTGTTTGCAGATATAACCGTTGCTGAATAAGAGTAATTATACAATTTTGTGCAGCTTTATTTATTGGGGGAGCAGGGCTCTCTCTGCTGAAAGTCACCTTAAAGGCCTATAAACACAATCAGGAGCTGCACACTGCAAACTACACGCTGAAAAGCTTCAGTGTTAGAAAAAAGAACAGTCTAGGGCTGGACAGAGTATAACAAGTAGTGTTTGCCTTGCATAGGCCTAATCCGAGTTTAATCCCTGTGTTCACATATGATGGTCCACCAAGCCTTGCCAGGAGTGATCTCTGAGCACAGCCAGGTGTGAGCCCCCCACCTCCACCCCCCGACCAAAAAAAGAACAATTCAGAAACTCTCCAAACAGACTAAGCTGAATTGATAGACTGGTCTGATGACCTCCCAGCCCTCTGTACCACCAATGAAGTTTTCAATATAAGGGGTGTTACAAGACAGGGCCATGGACTAAATGTCTGTGCCCGCCCCAATTAGGGGTGGGTCTGGGGGAAGAGATGAGCCCATGAGGGGCCCTTTCTTGGGAAAGGGAAGACCTGCCATCAGGACTCAGAGAGCTCACTGTGTTCCCTCAGACACATGAGGGGCCTGGGAGGAGCCAGGAGCTAGGCACTGTGGCAAACAGGCTGCCAGTTCTGTTCAGCAGCTTGGACCCAAGTCCCCGCTTCTCCGGGCCAGAGGGCCCAGGAGGCACCGCCTACCTCCTGAAGGACAGAGACTCCTAGTGGCTGTGGCTGTTTTGGAGCGCCACCCTCTTGGCACCCCTCGGAACCAAGCCCCATGTTTTTGTGGTCCCAGTTACCCTGATTCCCTGTACTCCTCCCACAGTGCTCCTGCTTCTCCACCAGCTAACAGACCTCTCCTTCCAAGCCAATCTAAGACATTCCCAGGAGATAAAAAAAATCATTTTAATGCCAACGTCCAGCTACAATATTTAAATACTCTGCCTGGGGCCATGAGGGGGAAGAGAGGGGAACTGAGTCCATCCCTTCCCCCAAGAAGAGGTGAATGTGTGTCACCTTCACTCTCAGCACAAACCCCAGAGGCTCCAGACCTGAGCCCCAGCTCTCAGGGTCTACGTGGAGGCGGGGTTGTCCAGAGCTCAGCCTGACGCCAGCCTCTGTTCTGGGGCATTTTGTCGCCTTGGGACACACGGCCCCACCTAGACAGGTGTCTGTGGGAGCATCCTGGGCACTGGCGCCATAGCTTCACCCCGAGCAGCCCCCGGGGGCCTGTCCCTCCCCGCTCTGGCCCATCTCTGAGGTGAGGCTCTGAAGGTACTGCTGCCGCACAGGGGGCAGCTGCGAGTAGAGCTCAAAGCCATCGGGGCAGGTGGAATTAGGGAGCTTGTAGAGCAGGAGGTGCTGCCGGGGTGCCTGCAAAGAGAGAAGGACGCCATGAAGTAGCAAGAGGAGACCTGCTGAGATTTGCTTGACCCCTAAGACACGGGTGTTGAGGGAGTGGAGGACTTGATCATTCCTGGCAGTGTTCGGGGAACCATATTCGGTGTAAGGGACCAAGCCTGAATGGGCCACGTGCGAGGCCCCTAAGGTCCTCGATTTTCCCACCCTCCCCATCAGCCAGCATCGGCCTAGGGCTCACCCTACCTCATCAGCCAGCAGCCACGTTTTCTGCAGCATGCTCCTGCGGACGGCCTTCACCTCACCCTAGGAACAGAACAGGGAGGGAGTGCAGGGCCACAGTTGGCACCCGCTGCTGGCCTTGCTCTGTCTCAGGCTCCCCTCCAGCCACGGTCTGTGGGATCTGACTTACCGAACTCTTGGGGTCCTGAGAGAAGATGAAGCTGTTGACATGAGCCACGGCCACTGTGTAGAGTATGGGGCACCAGCACGGCCGGAGCGCGCCTGTTACCAGGGCTCGGAAGTAGAGCTGCAGGAGGGCCAGGCTGTCCTCAGGGGGGCTGGTGTAGTTCTCCAGGGGCACAGGCAACTGGGATGGGGAAGGGACACATGATGAGGGTGCGCAAGGGAGGCCAGCCTCTGCCTGGACATTCAGCCCTCTGTCCTGAGCCTCAGGGCAAAGGAGAGCGGCAAAGCAGGGCTTCCAAATGCGCTTCCCAGACTTAGTCTTCTTAGGCTCTCCTGCTTCTTAGTCTTTGTAAAATGAAAACTCTAAAATCCCAGTGTTCAGTTGCTCAATATTTCCAAATCTCTCAACAGTTCCTGTTCTGGGCTGGGGAGATGGCTCGGAGGGCTGGAGCAGGCCTTGGATGCAGGAGCCCCAGCACTGCATGATCCCCCAAGCACCAAAGGCATGACCCCAGCCACCACCAAGCACCAAGGCCAAAATATAGCCAAAAAGCCAAAAGGAAAGTTTATGCTCTCTTTCTAGAAATTACTGTTAATTCCATGCAGAAATGACTATGAAAGAGACAAACTTTTTACATAATGATATTTATCATAGTCACTTTAAATAGCAATAATAATAATTAAAAACAGCATTCATGCCCCCCAAGGGGTTCTGGTAACTTGCATAACGAATAATTATTTTTTGGTTTTTCTTTGGGGTCACACTTAGCAGTGCCCAGGAGCTACTTCCAGCTCTGGGTTTGGGGGTTGCTATTGGTGGTGTTCAGGGAACCAAGGTTTGCCACCTGCAACATAGGTCTCCTGCATGCAAAATGTGAGCTTAGCCCACTGAGCCCTTCTTTGGCTCTAGCACGGACTTTATATGATAATAATAATCAATATCTATAACAAAAATAAACTAGAACTGCTTATTTCCTAGAATGACCAATCATATGGGAAATGTAATATTAAGTGAAGAGAATAAAGGTAAGGTAAAGGTAAAGGCCCTCCCGTTGATCGTCGATTTGCTCGAGCGGGCCCAGTAACTTTGTTGTTACTGTGTTTGGCATATCGAATACTCTCGGTAGCTTGCCGGGCTCTCCGAGAGGGGCGGAGGAATCGAACTCGGGTCGGCCATGTTGGCCACTTGTAAGGCGAATGCCCTACCCACTGTGCTATAGCTCCAGCCAGTGAAGAGAATATTTTTATTTATTTTTTAAATTTGTTTTTGCTTTTTGGGTCACACCCGGCGATGCACAGGGGTTACTCCTGGCTCTGCACTCAGGAATTACCCCTGGCGATGCTCAGGGGACCATATGGGATGCTGGGAATTAAACAAGGGAAGCGCCCTACTTGCTGTGCTATAGCTCCAGCCCCAAGAGAAGAAAATATTATGCAGGGATTCCACTTTATAAGCTAAATGTGTACTAAAAGAGACAAATGAAGTGCCAGAGAGACCGTACAGGGTAAGGTACTTTCCTGGCACTGCATATGGTCCTCCAAGCACTGTCAGGGATCAGTCCAGAGCACAGAGTCAGGAATACGTCCTGAGCACCACTGAGTGTGGCCCAAACCCCCATCTATGACCAACACCAACTGTATGCCTGGAACTGTGCTCAACCTATTTCCTGGGTTCTTTTCATCTCCTTAAAGTCCCCAAAGGAAAGAAGGAACCTGAGGGAACCCAAAGCCAAACAAGGCAACCCTGTGCTGCCCCTGCCAGCTCAGCTAAGAGGGTCCACGTAGACCATGGGCAGCAGTACCTGTGACAGAGGCAGGCCTAGGGCTCTCAAGGCTCCCACGTGCTCGCCAAAGAGGGCGAGGCGCAAGGTAACGCTGAACCGACGCTGCAGGGGAAGGAGGACCAGTGTCCCGAAGAGGTGATCCCCAAACGACACGGCCTCAAAGTGATCCAGCAGGCTGGCATAGAGGTCAGGAAAAGATGCCAGGCCGGCGAGGGGGCAGTCTAGGTGGAGATTTGGCAGGACTTCTGGCCGGCAGAGCTGAGTCACGAGGGCTGCCACCAGGCGCTGTATGGGGGCCTCCCGGAACAGCTCACTGTCCACCAGGAACACACACATGAGCCGTGCCAGGCGGGCAGCAGGAGGCACGGCCCAGAGGCTGCGAGGGCGCCAGCTCTCCAGGACAAGCACCCACTGCAGGGCCCGCTGGGCAGTGCCCACAGTGTCGGAAGGAGGGACCCCCAGGCGGGGGTCTGAGGCCTGGTGGTAGAGGTGAAGCAGGGGCAGGAAAGGCCAGTCGGTGGGCAGCAGTGGCTCCTTGGGCACTGGGAGCAGCAGGCTAGGCACATGCTGCAGCTGCCCGCGGTGGAGGGCCTGGGAGGCCAGCAGGCTGGCTCTGGCCAGGGAGCAGTGGGTGAGGTAGCAGCTGCGGATGCTGGGGAGGTCCTGGCAGGCCTGGGTGAGCAGGGCCCCACGCCCACCCCCCAGTTCCTGGCCGCTCCCCAAGGAGAGTTGGTCGGAGAAGTCAGCTGCCTCCGGACCGCCCGATGCTCTCTCCCTGTAACGGAACCCAAAAGACAAAAATGAGGGCTGGAACCACAGCACCCTGAAGAGCTCTGCAGAGTCAACTCTGCAGGCCTTCCCAGGGCCTCCCATCTTGCTCCTCCCTAAGCCCCCATAGCCTTCAAGACGTGTGTGTCCTCTTTAAGAGGACAGACACTTGGGCTGGCCGCCTGGGTGTGGTCTGCTCTCAGGTGAAGGACAAGCTGTGCAGGGAGCTCCACAATTGTTAGCCATCACACCTGAAAGCTCATTATGTCTCTTTTTCTTAGGGGGAAGAGATTTGCAGCCACACCCCACAGTACTCAGGGGCTTCCCCAGCTCAGTGCTTGGGGGTAGCTCCTAGCAGTGCTCTGGGGCGGGTAACACGGTGCCAGGAATTCAAGCGAGGCTTCCTACACGCAAGGCATGTGCTCAGCCTGCAGAGTTCTCTCTAGCCCGAAGTCCCTCTTCTTAGTCACGTGGCCAAACCCATGTTTGAGCAATTCCCTCCATGATTAGCCTTGGTCCCCGCATACTGGGAGGAAATGGGTACAGGGACAGGTCAGCGAAGGGCAATTCCTATTCCCTGGCACCCCAGCACAGCTGCCCTCAGCGCTGTGCTCCAGGGACGCTGGCCCCAGGCTCACGGGAGGAACTCGGGCCGGAACACGCAGGTCCGCAGCAGCTCGTGGGCGAGGTGCTCATTCCCGGGCAGCAGGCGGCTCAGCAGGGCGACGGCCAGGCTGTGGAGGAGGGCGGCACTGGGCGCAGGCACCGTCTGGAATGTGGCCTGGGGACAACAGCAAGCAGGAACTAAGCTGAGGAGGTGAGAGGGGCCAGGCAGAGGGGCCCGAGGATGAGGGGGCAAGCAAAGGTGCACATGCGAACAAAGGCATGGATGCCCCCTTGGAGGACGGGCAGAGCGGCGGGTCCTGCCTGGTGGGGCAGCACAGGCTGCAGAAAAGCATGGTGGGGAGAATGGGGGGCAGTTGACAATCGGGGAGCACGGGGCTGCATGAAGGTATGGGGATAGGGGATGTGTAGATAAAACAGGCCTACCACCTACCACACGCTGGGCCAGGTTGAGCACCAAGTACTGCAGGTGGTACTCGTGGCGCAGTGCCCACGCCGAGAAGGGGGTGAGCTGGGGGGCAGGCATGGGAGCCACACACTGCTGGAAGTAGTCCTGGAGTCCAGGGGTGGATAGTAGGGAAGCCAGCTGGAAAAGATGACCATGTTCCACTCCAGAGGAGGCCACTGGACCCACAGGACTCCCCAAACCCAGGGAAGCAGAGCCGGCAGATGAGGTCCTTCCCCTGGGGTACCTTCTGCCTCGCTCTGGTCCCTGCCTTCAGCCGCAGGCTCACCTGGACACACAGCCCCTTGTGGATGCGGGTCAGGGTGCCGCAGAGGGCCAGGAGGGCCGTGAGGAACGGGAATGGCGAGGCGGAGCCTGGCAGGCTGAGGGGTGGGCAGCCTCCGGCACAGCCCAGGGAGGGGAGGCTCAGGAGCATCTCGGGGCCTGGCGCACAGGACTGTGGGTTGCAGAGAGGGGAGCAGCGCCTGGAAGCAGAGGGGAAAGGCTGAGGGGTCTCTGGCCCAAGCTGAGCTGGGCCTGGCTGGGCTGAGGGGCCCAGCGCCCCACTGCCACTGCCTGCCAGGGATCCCAGCTTCCCTCCCAGTGGGCTTCTGCAGAGATGAAGCAGGGAGTCGGAGCTGGGCACCCCACGACTGCAAATAGTGTCCCAGCGTACCGAAGAGCCTGGCACAGGTCACCCAGAGGGGCCTGGCACAGCAGGGGCAGCAGCAGCTCGTCCGAAAGGCGCTCTATGTCCTGAAGCCAATCACCGGGGCACATGCTGGGCTGCAGGGCAAGGAGCTGGGTGGGCTGGTGGTCCGGACACGCCTTCTCCCTGTTCTGGTGCCCAGGACCTGCCCAGGTCCTCCAGCCTAGAGGTTCTGTGAGGGAAGGCTCCTGCCTCTTGAGCTGCCTGGAGGGAGAGAAGCCCCCCAGCCAAGGGGACTTGGGGTCCCCAAAGAGGTGGGGCTGCTGCAAGGGGTTCCTGGAAGTGCAGCTGGATATGGGGTGGAGAGGGGGCAGGAAAGGAGGGAGCTCGGGAGATGAGGTGAGCTGGTGAGGGCAGGCAGGTGCCATACTCACCTGCTGGCTCCAGGCCTGGTAATAGGCGTCCAGGAAGAGCAGGCAGGCGGTGGGCACCGGGCCCAGTGCGCACCATGCGTCAGGTCTGGACAGCGACTCCAAGGCCTGTCTGAGACATGGCTCCACCAGAGGCTGGAGCCCGCACACCTGCGTCCAGAGCAGCGAGGAAGGGGCGGCCGATGGGCTGACCTCGGTGGTGTCATCCCTGCAGGGGTGCCGGAAGGAGTCCCCATGAGGAGGGAGAGAGGAGCAACCCTGCCTGGCCGAGCTCCGGATTGCACATGCCTCCAGGTGGGTCCAAGTGAGCACCTACCTGCTGGGTTCGGAGGCACTGGTGGCCAGGGTCAGCTGGGTGAGGGCGGTGAGCAGCGAGGCAATATGCTGCATGGCGAGGGGCCGCAGAGGCTGGGTGGTCAGCTGGCGCGGCACAGCCTGTAGCACCTGCACCAGGATGGGGTAGAGCTCCCTGGGGAGGACACGGCGGACGCTCCGTGTAGCAGATGGAGAAGCACAGATAGGGCCCGGGAAACAGGAGGAGAGACCAGGCAGGCCACTTCCAGGGAACACCCAAGGGTGGAAGGTGGGGGCCAGTGGTCAGGGGGATTTCATGGCTTCCCCTCAAAAGGGCGCTGATTCCCCCCAGGTACTCCCAGGCCCACACAGAATGTTACCAGCCAAGAACCTCATCTCCCCTCATGTGAATTCTCACACCTGCCCGTTCCCACCCCCTATCCCCAACTTCCACAAGCTGGAAAGCTTTTGTCTGAGGGCTTACTTCTGGCTCACTCCTGGTGGGGCTTGGGAGTCCATACGGGGTGCCGGGGGTTGAACCCAGTCAGCCACATACAAGGCAGGTGCCTTAACCCCCGCACTACCTCTCCGACCCCACGTTGGAAACCTTGCCAAGGCTGAGTTCTCAGCTTCGGTCAGAAAAGCAGAACCAAGCTGCTTTCCTCCGAGGGCCCCCTCACCTGTACAGGTCTCCGGCCTGACCGTAGGAGGCGGCCACTGCCCACAGCCGGAGGGCCTCGGTGCTCAGGGTCTCCGCCTCTTCCTGGGGCAGGGCCAGTTCCGGGGGTGCTTCGGCCAGGAAGCGGCACAGACGGCTCCGGAGATCAAAACTGCTCAGCTAGTGGTGGGCAGAGAGTCGGGATCGGGGCCAGTGGGTGGGCAGGGCACCTGTGCCCCTTCCTATCCCTCTGGTGCACCAGGGCGGAGTGAGCACCACCCGTGCCCACCCACCTTCTGCTGTGGCTCCCTGCTGTGGCAGGGGTGCTCCAGAGGAGTCTGCCTATGGTGTAGGACACAGCCAGGGGTTTTCCCACAGCCCAGATCAGGCCTCTGGGACCCGGCTCCAGCTGGGCCTTCCCAAGCAGGAGGTGCAGACAGTGAGAAGGGGCCGGGAGACACAGAGGAGCCCCATCCAACCTCCCGTGACTCGTGTCCCTGGCTCGGCCCTGGGTCCCTGCTTACCAGTCGCACAGCGATGTTCCTGCCAGCCGAGGCCAGGACACGGAGCAGCTTCATGGCGGACGAACAGGGCACCCGGTGGAGGCTGGGGGCAGGCCCGGCCTCCCTGGGTGCCCAGCTAGTGGGTAGAAACTCTCGCACCACGGTCCCCATCAACCGAGGGCACTCCAGGATCTGTGGGGCGGGGGTGGGGGGCAGAAAGAGAGGAGGTGAGGGGCTGAGGGGCCAGGCCAGGCCCCAGTGCTCTCCCACTCCCCGGCCCGGCCTTCTCACCCTCGTGGCTGACTCCAGAGAATGCCGTGCCAGGCGAATGAGCACGGCCAGGATGTCGAGGACCACAGAGGGCGCTGGACAGGTCACCTCCAGCACGTAGCGCAGCCGGGGCAGCAGGTTGGTGGCCAGCAGCCCCTGGGGATGGATGACAAACACCCCCGATGACCCCTCCTGCCCAGCGCTGCCTGGCCGGTGGCTGCACCTGCAGCCACCCTGGCACGTCCCTCTACCTTGATGACGTCGTGCCGGGCCAGGTCAGACGGAGGCCGGGAACTCTCCTCCGGGGCCTTCTTTGTCTTTTCCACTGGCGGCTCTTCATCCTCATCCTCAGCATCCTGGTCCTCTTGGCTGGGGATCAGCGGGAACACTAGTGCTCCGTGGTACCAGGAGAAGGCACTGTCCAGGAGCTCCTGCCAGGGAGAGGAGTGAGGTGGGGGTTGGGGGTTGGGGAGGAGATTGGGGACAAGGCTCGGAAATGCACCTAGGAGAGGAGCAGAGATGCCCCCTCCAAGCCTGGCATGGTAGAGTGTGCTGGGCATGGTCCGAAGGGTGGACCGCTTTTTTTTTTTCTTTTTGGGTCACATCCGGCGATGCTCAGGGGTTACTCCTGGCTCACGCACTCAGGAATTGCTCCTGGCGGTGCTCGGGGGACCATATGGGATGCTGGGAATTGAATCTGTGTCAGCCATGTTGGCTGCGTGCAAGGCAAATGCCCTACCCGCTGTGCTATCGCTCCAGCCCAAGGGTGGACCTCTTTTTGTCTGGTTTTGGACCAGAGCACCTGGTGGTGTTCTGGACTTACTCCTGCTCTCTGCTCAGGGATCATTCCTGGCAGACTCAGGGGAACTTATGGGAAGCTCGGGACTGAACCAGGGTCAGCCATGTGCAAGGCAAGCACCCAACCCATCATACTTTCTCTCTGGCCCAGGCTGGGCATCTACCCTTTGCTTACCCAGCTACCCCACAGCCCCAAGGGCAGGCCCCATGGGAGCCAGGGCCCCTTCTTTGTACCTCGTCTCCAGGAAACACCAGCAGAGCCCGGAGAGCACGAACAGCAGCGGCGATGACCCCGTCCACCCGGTCATCCAGGGAGAAGCGCAGCAGGAAAAGGAAGCCAGCATCCAAAAGGAGGCGCAAGACACTGCCCACCAGGCGGTCCCCAAACTCGCCGGCCTGGGCCTTGGGGACAAGAGGGGGAAACCTTTGCTGAAGACGCTAAAGTCATGGGTTCAGCTTAAGTCCTTCACTCTCCCTCCCCCGCGCCAGCACCCCAGGAACTCCCAGTTCCCACAGGATCCCTGGTACGCATGTCGGGGCAGGGACGTGCAAAGCCCGCCAGACCCACTCACCCTGCTGATGACCTGGGCCAGCACATGCAGCGCCAGGGCTCTCTGCTGGGGCACCTGGCTGCGTGTCAGGTGGAAGAGCTCCTGCAGGGAGTACCCCGCTCTCTGTGCGGGGCCAAGATGTCAGAGGCTCCCAGACACGGGGCCACGCCCCCCAACAGACACACCAAGCAAACCCTGTGCCTGCAGCTGAGAGTACAAGGCACCTGTTCACCCCCAGCCCTCGGACAGGTGCAGACAAGACCTGCACACAAGTGCCACGGCAGCCGGTGTGTTGTCTACAAACAACCTGGGGGTGGTCTGGGGAAGCGAAGCAGTCTCAGGTGCAAGAGCTGGTGGCCGGGCCTCGAGCACAAGGAAAGATATCCCGGGAGCCTCAGAAAGAGACGGGGGGGTGGGTGAAACCTGGGGCACTGAGATGCGAGCTCAGCAGGAACTGGTAGTGCAGGACCAAGGGGCCCAGGCCCTATCCAATGCCAGGAGAGGGATGTGTGAGGGCTGGGCTGGTCTAGCAGGGTGCACTCAGCAGGTTGGAGGTGAGAATGGCGGGGCGCAGAGGGCAGAAGACAGGAAGGCGCGGGGGGGGGGGGGTCTCTCATCTAGGAGACACCATGGGAAAGGACCGACAGAGAAGGGCAGATCCTGGTGCTGGACTAGAAGGCCATCTAAGTGCTGGCAATGCCAGGGAGGGTGCCCAGGACATGCCGGTGAAGTAGTACCAAGAGCCGCCTGGACTCACCTCTGCCTCCTCCCCATGGTGGTGCAGGCCCAGGTGGGTGGGCAGGTCAGCATCGGGGGCCAGCAGCTCTCCCTGGAGGTTGAACCGGGCCTGCATGCGCTGGAGGGAGAGAGAGTGAGAGGAGCATGGTGGGCAACATCCAGCACCTTGGCCTCTGTGGGCACCAGCAGAGTGAGGGAAGGAGAGCCCCAGGAGACGGACAGAGAAGGGCCTGTGTACCTGCCCCGTCCCACACCCCTAGCATGGGCTCACCTCCTGGGTCCGCTTCCGCCGGAGTGGGGGCAGGTCCTGGGTCCAGTGCAGCTTGTCCAGCTCCACTGTGTCCATGTGCAGCCACTCCTTTTGGGGGGCCACGGGCAGTGCAGGAGCTGCGGGGACGCAACAGTTATTTCCTCGGGACGCACTGACCCATCGTGGGGAGACTCCGTCACCCGCCCACAGCGGCTCCAGCCTCCTGCCCCTAAGGGCCTGGCAGCCGCTGCCTCCAGCTCTGGCCTGGGTGGCGGCTCCTGAGAAGTGGGTGAATGTCTGAGAGGGCAGAACATAGCCACGGGCTCCAGCTCTTGCTGACCCCAAGGATTTGTTGGGAAGAAGAAGGAAGAAAAAGCGAGAGGAGGAAGAGGGAACCCCATACAGTGGGGAAAACCTGTCCTCCAGCACCGACTCTAAAGGAGTGGGTAGAGTGGGTGGGTGGGGACACCCCGACACCTCTCCCCCTTTTCCCCCACAGCACGACTGCTGCAAACCCACAGGGGCAGGAGGGTCATGGGGCTCGGAATTCCATTTCATCTTTGGCAAAGCACTAATCCAATAATCCGGGTCCTGGGAAATCTCTTTGCCCACGGGCCGGCCTGCTGGGGGCTGGCATGTTCCTAAGATCCAGACAGAGCCTTCCTCTCCCCTCCTCCCCGCAATGCTGAGGGCAGAGGCAGAAGGAACTGCGGGATGGAAGGAGCTGAAGTTGGATCAGCTCCTGGAGGGTTGTGGGGGCCGGCGGGGGGGTGGGAGGGATTGCGGGGTGGTGCGCTCAGATGTCAGAGCCAGCAGCCACAAGACTGAGTCCTGTGAATACAGACGGTCAGGAGAGATGGCCCCTGTCCCAGCTGGCAAGGCCCACGAGAGAGATGCTTCTGCTTCCCTTTTCCCACGTCCTGCATCACACCCAGCAGTGCCAAGGATCATGAGGTACTTACTGGGAGGGATGAAACTCGGGACCCCCATTCGGCGCATGTACTCTAGTAGGGACCCCTTCCCTCTCCTTCTGCTCCCCTGAGATGATCCCCTTTGCCGAACCTGGGGTGCTCGGCTGCAGTTCCTCTTCCCTCCTGGGCTCTGAGGCAGAGGCTGGCACGACAGAATCTTCCACAGTGGCTGTGGTCGAGGCTCCTTCCAGCCTCTGCTCCTCCCGGGCCCTCTCTCCTGCTTGCTCCTTGCTGCAGCTACGAGACTTCAGGAAGGCGACCAGGCCTGGATCTAGAGTGGGTAGAGGGGAAAGTGGGCCTAAGACCTGCTGGATTGCACCGGCCTGGCCTGAGCCCCCTGGGGCTGTTCCCCTCCTCCCGGCAGCCCCCAGTTGGCCTGTGTGTGAGATCAGAGGCATGAGGGGTGGTGGGACAAACGCACAAATGCTGGCAGGGGTCAAAGAGAAGGTATTCTGGGTGCTACTCCTCCTACTTTCTGGTGACTGTATTTACACACAAATCTTCTCTATGAACTGAATAGCTGCTGTGTACTTTCTCTGTGCTAGATGCACAGTCTGAAGCAAGACGGACTTGGTGCCACTGTTTAGGTGAGCAGAAAGGAGGTTGGGATCGGTCAGGATCAGAGAATGGGGAATCCAGAGGTGTAATAGGAGGGACGGGATGGGGGGAGCACGACACACTCACATCAGGGCCTGGGAATTGAGCCGATCTGGGTTTGCATGTCACCTGCAACCCTGGCCAGCTCTATAAGCAGGGGAGAATTCCTCAGTTTTTGTCCTTAAGTCAGTGAGGTTGGCACACAACAGAAACAGTATGAGGACAGAATGAAAGCATGTATCAGAGACCCAGGCCTGTGTGGGTAGGCACAGTGAGCCCCCATGTCTGTGGCTCTGTGGGCAAACCTGGTGCCCATGCCATGCTGCGCCCATACCAAGCTGTGCCAGTAAGCGCCTCTGTTCCTGCAGGATCTCCTCGGGTGCCATGGCTTGGAGCCGTGCTACATTCTCCTCGTGGATGGTCTGGGCCTCCTGCTTGGCCTCCTGGCCCCGGAGCCCCGTGCCTGTAACCAGGTGGGGTCCTTGGAAGATGGGGCTGCCTCCCGGATGTGGGCAGCCCTGCTCTCCTGGAGGAGCTTCTTCGCAGGTCACAGCACCTGGAAGAGGTATCAGGTCATTTTCTGGCCTCAGCTCTCCCCTCTCTACTCCCACTGGCCCTGGAGGCCCCGAGCACTCCCAGACAAGGAGCCCCAGGAACCCTGGGGCTATCTTGGGGGCCCTTTCTACACAGCTGTCCCCTGAGATGGTGCCTGTGTTCCGGCAAGGCGGTGGGCGGTTGGCAGTAAGGAAACCTAGTGCCATCCTGACTTCAGACTTAGCGGGGAGTCTCCAGCCTCTTCCTTTCTCCCTGCACCCAAGACCCAGATGCGGATCCCATCACCCAGACCACACTATGAGTGGGGACATGGGATAGTGTTCCCTTCAGAGAGCTCAGATACTCATTCTATCTGAGATCCAAAGGTGACTCTGGGTGGCCCCTGTTTTGGAATCACCCTCATCTGTCCCAACATGGGGTGTGCCTTTTACCCCATGAACTCCCACTTGAATGACTTGATTCCCCCCAGCCCCCCCGCCAACATACACATACTGTGACTGTGTGTTTATGGTTGTATGTGCGACTCTGTGATTGTGTGTGTTGTACTAAAAAGAAGACCCGTTTGCGCCCGCTCACCCTGTGGTGGGTGTAAGGTGGATTTGGCATCTCTTGGGGAAAGTGGTCTGGCTTCAGACGCTCTTCTTGCTGCAATTTCCTGAGCAAAGATGCTCCTCTGACCAGATGTTGTTGGCATCCCCTGAGTGGACAGAAAACTCAAGTGACCATTCTCTTCTCAACCATATTATAGCAAAGTCACTGGAACAAAGAAATAAAGGGTCTTTCTTTGGGGACAGAGAGATAGTACACTGTGTAGGTCATTTGCCTTGCACATAGCTGACCCAGGTCTGATTCCTGCACCACTTCGGATCCCTTGAGCTCAGTCAGGAGTGATCCCTGAGTACAGTGCCAGGAACTGAATTAAAACAAAACAAAACAAAACAAAACAAAAACTGTGGCCAGAGAGACAGTACAGTGGGCAGGGCGCTTGCCTTGCATGCTGCAGACTTGGGTTCAATCCATAGCACTCGGTATGGTCTCTGAGCAAGGCAGGAATGATCCCTGAGCTCAGAGCCAGAAGTAAGCCCTGAGAAGTGAACGGACTATGCGTTAATCCAGGCCATCAAGTCTGCCGGAGGGGAAAGGGTGTTGCCCCATTCGCCCTCTCTTCTCTGGAAAGAAGGATGGCGGCCGCATGGGAGCCTTGTGGACAGCAGGTATGAGCCGGGGGTGTGGGGGCGACTAAAACCTCATGGGAAGGGGGGCGTTCCGGTCCGTCCTTCACACCCTACCGAGGCCACCAGTTGCCCCCCACGAGCAGCTCTCCAGCACGGCCACAGCCCCAGAAGCACAAGGACTTAATGCAGAAACCAGCAGCTTGGAGCAGAAAAGTGAAAGGACTATGCGTTAATCCAGGCCATCATATCTGTCCGGAGGGGAAAGGGTGTTGCCCCATTCGCCCTCTCCTCTCTGGAAAGAAAGATGGCGGCCGCATGGGAGCCTTGTGGACAGCAGGTATGAGCCGGGGGTGTGGGGGCAACTAAAACCTCATGGGAAGGGGGGCATTTCGGTCCGCCCTTCATGCCCTACCGAGGCCACCAGTTGCCCCCCATGAGCGGCTCTCCAGCACGGCCACGACTCCAGAACACAGAAACCAATTTCTTAACTATCTGACTTTCAGTAGAAATACTTCCAGGGTCAATAGGTAAAATAGCAGAAATCCAAAACCAACATTTAATTCTTGAACCCAGCTGTAGAAAGCAAATCACTTCACAATGCTTTTTCAGCATGTCTGATTTGGGGGGGGTAAACTCTAAATAATAGTGGTGAATCTTTTATTGAAACAGTGAATCTAATCAAAGCAGATAGAGTGTTAACTAGAATTCATCTGCCTCACAGGGACGGGGAGGGGTGGGGGGTGGGGTTTTATTGGGGTTCTTCATGGTAAAAAATAAGTATTGGTAAAGGGAAATGTGTTTGATAGTTGCATGACTGAGACCTAAACCTGAAAGCTTTGTAACCTTTCCCACAGTGATTCAATAAATAAAAAAAAAAAAAAAAAAAAAAAAAAAAAGTAAGCCCTGAGCCCCACTGGGTGTAGCACAGAGACAACACAGAAAAAAAAAAAAAAAAGGCTGCTGTGAGTTCAAAGTGTGAGTGCATTTGGTGGCTGAGAACCACCTCCCCAGGCCAGCAGGGATGATGATGGTGATGGGTGGAAGGGTGAAAGGAAGAGAAGGAACAGGGCCACAGTGACCATTTATTCTCCCCTGCAGCGTAGTTATATGGAAATCGTAGGCTGGAGCAATAGTACAGCAGGTAGGGAGTTTGCCTTGCATGTGGCCGACCTGGGTTCTATCCCCAGCATCCCATATGGTCCCCTGAGCACTGCCAGGAGCAATAACTGAGTGCAGAGCCAGAAGTAACCCCTGTGCATCGCAGGGTGTGACCCCCCAAAAATTGTGAAGGGTGGTTGAACATTATCATAACAATAAACAGATGTAAAGCCCCTCCTTCAGGGAAAGTTCTTCTAGGACAAAAGCTCACTTGAGGGTGTAGCACTCTAGATTACTAGGAGATCCACTCAAGGGCAGTATTCCATCTAAGGGCATATTGCTTTCTCCTTTCCTTAGCTAGTAATCCATTTAAACAATCACATTAAATTTACTTTCTAATAATGTTAGAATCTCCTCTTGGAGAGCCCCGCAAGCTACCACGAGTATCCCACTCGCACAGAAGTGCCTGGCAAGCTCCCTGTAGCATATTTGATATGCCAAAAACAATAACAATAATGGGTCTCATTCCCCTGATCCTGAAAGAGCCTCCAATCATTCGGAAAGACGAGTGAGGAGAGGCTGCTAAAATCTCAGGGCTGGGACGAATGGAGACGTTACTGGTGCCCGCTTGAGTAAAGTGATGAACAGTGGGATGACAGTGATACAGTGAATAATGTTTCTAGCCATTTCACATGGACACAGTAAGAAATATATTAAGGTTAAAGGGTGGCTCTTCCTGGGGACATCTCACTATATATCCCAGGCTACAGTCCTCAGGCCAGGTTCGTCTTTTCTAACCCCAGCAGGGTCCTTATCTAGTTACTTCTTTATGAGTCATGACAAGAGTTTGTTCCTTGACCATATACTTCTTATAGCGCTTAGCCTGTCCCTTTTCAATGCCAGAGTAGCTTTTAGCTTGCCCCGGGCCCATCTAACTCCCTTGCCGAGACCCTCCTTTTGGAAGGGTGTTAGGAAGTAAGGGCAACTGAGGCTTAAGTCAAGTAATGCCCAGGAGCAAATATTATTGGGAATCAATTAACTCCCATGTTACAAAAGCATAGTAGCAACTGTCTCCCTGTATCTATACAAAAAGGACATTGCTAAACCATGCAAGTGACATAAAAGAAAGAGAAAAGCAATATAGGATTAAGAGTTCCTGATAGAATTGGATGTGCTTCGGGAGCACTGTGGTGGGAGCAATTCAAACATAAGCTCCCTGCTGGAGGAGCAAGGACAAACCAATGTTATCCAACACTTTGCTCAGTCTCCAGGAATCACTAGCTGCCCTCTAGAAACGCAGAGTACAAGTCTGACAGGCTGGGAAGGGGTTTCTGGCTCTTCTATCTATTAGCTGGGTGGCACCGAACAAAATATCCACCTTGGGGCTAGAGCGACAGCACAGCGGGTAGGGCGTTTGCCTTGCACGCGGTCGACCAGGGTTCAATTCCCAGCATCCCATATGGTACTCTGAGCACGGCCAGGAGTAATTCCTGAGTGCATGAGCCAGGAGTAACCCCTGTGCATTGCTGGGTGTGACCCACTCCCCCCAAAAAAATCCGCCTCTTTGGGCATCCACAATTTCCTCATGCGAAAAGTGGGACTGGCTGTAGCAAGAGTAGATGAAGCATATGTGCTGCTCTCTAGGACCACCAGTCTGAGGAGGATGCACTATGAGACCTACCGACTGCTTCCTGAGTCTCACCTGCCTTCCCTGTGAGCGATGGAACACAGGAGGGAAAGCCACATTACTAGGTACAGGCAGATTCACGGCCACTGAGCTGGTGTCTCGTTCCTGCAGCCACAAAGCACAAGGTAGTAAGGATGGAGGCATCCCCAGGCTGGCCCCTTCCCACTCCAGGCCCCCGGTCCCCGGCAACCACGGCCTTGTGCCGGGGGACATCAGCCCACCTTGCTTCTTGCAAGGGGCCTGGTGACGGAACCATGCCCCCAGCCTGACTGCTGGGGGATCAAGTCCCACCAGAGTTGCCCTCTGTTCACCCCCACCAACACCCCTGTAGCCCTGGATGCCCACTCAGCCCACTCAGCCGGGTGCGACGCACAATAATCTTCGTCAAGACAGCAGTGATGTGCTGATCATGCCTGTTCAGCCTCTCCTCAGGGTCCTCAAAGACAGGCAGGGAACCCGTGGCACTGGGTCTGGCTCTCTTTGCAGGAGCAGGTACCAAAGCTGGAGGCACATCAGGGAGATCTGAGAGAGGAAAGCAACCATGAGAACTCCATCCCTGATCTAGAGGAGACAGAGATATGGGATGGGGGAGGCCTGGGAAAGAGAGGCAACCACGAGGTCCGGCCCAGACTCTTGTCACCTTGGGCTGGAATTTTGTTTTTGTTTTTTTTTGGGGGGGTGGCCTCACCTGGAGATGTGCAGGGGTTACTCCTGGCTCTGCACTTAGGAATTACCTCTAGCAGTGCTTGGGAGACCATATCGCACGGCAGGGATTGAACCCAGGTTGGCTGTGTGTAAGGTAAACACCCTACCCACTGTGCTATCTCTCTGGCCCCCATGGCCAGGATATTTAAGCTCTTTGAGCTGCCAACTATCCAAATAGAGGAGAGGGCTGTGGCGTCTAGAAACAGAGAAGGCCTGGAGGACCTGAGGCTACCTGCTCACTCACCGTCCAGCACCACCACATCCCGAGCAAGTGCATCTCCCTGGCACCGGCTTCCTTTCTGCACCAACTGCACTGCCGGGGCTGTGCCGGCCGCCAGGAACTGCCTCTGGAAGCGCAGCAGGTCTTCCTCAGCCTCGCCTGGCTTTGGCCTTGCCAGCATCTTGACGCTTTGGTTGCTTCCCCTGGGGGACTCTTGCTGGCTCCGCTCTGCTGTGGGGGTGTCCTCTCATTCACCCCTGAAAGCAACAGAGATGATGAGACTCTTCGCTTGGTTCTCATTACTGTTTACTAGAGACTCCTCTTCCGTCTCTTCACAGCGCTCAAGCTTCCTCAGTCATACCTTATTATCATCCCTTCCTATTTAGCCCTCCCTGATGTCATCCACCTAGCAACAATATTTACTGCCAACTTAGGTTGCTTATAATCTGTGCATGATAACACTCTAGGAAAAATCAGAGGGGAGCTAAAGGAAATGCCATCAGGGACAGGCAGATAAATGTGTCATAACAGGGAGCAGTGGTTCTTCATCAAACTGGAGAAAAAACCATGCCTGGCCTAAGGATATTCAAATTATTAAAAAAAAAACCAGGGGCTCTAAAAGATCAATACAGAAGACTTGTTTCTATTTTTATGCATGAACAAAGAAAAATCCAGAAGATAAAGTGAAGAAAAATAACTCCAGGGGCCAAAGCAATAATGGTACAGTGGGCATTTGCTTTGTATGCAGCTGACCCAAGTTGCACTCCATATGGTCCCCTGAGCTTACCAGGAGTGATCTGTGAGCACAGGAGAAACCCTTGGGCTACACCTGGTGTGACACAAAAGCGAAAACAAAAAGAAAAAGAATTCCAGGAGACTGAGGGAAGGCTTTGTGTCTAAGAGTGTCTTGGGCCTGGGAGACAGCACATAAGGCTTGTGCGTGTGCCCAGCATGTGGGATCCATCTCCAGTGCCACACAGTCTCCTGAGCATGACCAGGTGAGACCTACAAAAGTGAACTTAAAAATGCCTGCCTTGGGGCTGGAGCGATAGTACAGCGGGTAAGGCATTTGTCTTGCACGTGGCCAACCCAAGTTCAATCCCCAGCATACCATATGGTCCGCAAAGCACTGCCAGGAGTAATTCCTGAATACAAAGTCAGGAGCAACCCCTGAGCATTGCTGAGTGTAACCCAAAAAGAAAAAAAAAAGCCTGTCTTACAAGCATTGGGCCATGGGTTAAATCCTTGACTGCCCACATGTACCAAAGTCCCTGCAGCTTTTTTACCTGGACCCTCAGTGCTGCAATAGAGTGCGAGATTTCAGCAAGCAGCCAGGTGTGTAAGCACTACAACCAGAGATGCAGGAGCACTGTGGGATATTTACAAATCATATATCTGGGGCCAGATAGTATAGCGAGAAGGGTGTTTGCCTTGCATGAGGTAACCTGGGTTCGATCCCTGCTATGCCATATGTGCCATATGATCGCTTGAATACCGCCAGGAGTAATTCCTGAGTACAGAGCCAAAAGTAGGCCTTGAGCACCACCAGGTGTGGTTCGAAAACAAAGCAAAAAATAATATAACTGATAAAAGACCTATGCAAGGGTATATAAAGAAATAACTAGATAATAAAATAACAACTATCCCAACTGAAAAATGGGCAGACAGGTCTGGGATCTAACTCAGCAAGAGAAAGACAGAGGGGGTGTGGAGAATGGGAGAGAGAAGGGGAGATCAGGGACAGAGGGATAGTGATCTGGATGGGCAAACAGTGCCAGTGAGTAGTTAAAGGGCTGAAGCACATGCCTGCCTGTCTTGTGGAGACCAAGTTCAACCCCTGGTCTTACATGGTCACCTGAGCACCAATGGCTGCAGCCTTGACGGACCCTAGCTAAGCCTGAGAAATACCATATCACCAGGTCTAAGCACTGAACCAGCATATGGCTGGGAGAGGCCCTTGGCCTGAGCACTGCTTGAGAGGGTGTAGGACTGAATGAATAATAGGCAGAGAATTTTATTTATGGTTTTTTGAGGGCAACACCAGGATTTTGTTTTGGGGCCACACTTGATGGCTTTCAGGGGCTACTGCCAGTTCAGGGATTGCTCTTGGCGGTGCTCAGGAGACCAGGGAGTTTAGGGGTGGAACCCAGATTTTTACATATAGAGCATATACTCAATCCATTGAGCTCTCTCTGACCCTGGGCAGAGGATTTAAATAAACATTTTAATAACGAAAATATGTGGATGAACAGCAAGCACATGAAAAAATGTTCAATTTCATAAACCATTGGGAAAATGCAAATGGAATCATAATAAGATAACATTCCATACTCAATAGGAAGACTCTAATCAAAGGAGGAAAAAAAATAACAATGTTGGCAATGATGTGAGGAAATTAGCACACCTTCATATGGTTTTATGTGAAAACATAAAATAGCATAACCATAATGAAAAGCAGTGTGGTTGCTTGGGCAAAAGTGAAATAGTTATCAATGACAATGGCTCAGTAATTGTATTCCTAGGTATAAAGCCAAGCAAAACTGGAAACATATTTACAAAATACAACATATAACAGGGGCCAAAAGAAGGTTAAAGAAGTTAGAGCACATGCTTTGCATGTGTGAATCCCTGAGTTTGGTCCTTAGTACCCTTACCAGCCGCTATGGAGGTAAAAAAGGAAAAAAGGTACACAGGACCGGAGAGATAGAACATCGCATATGGTCCCCCTCAGCATCACCAGAAATAATTCCTGAGTGCAGGGCAGGGGGTAACCCCCGAGCATCACTGGGTGTGGCCCCAAAATAAAATAAACAAAAGGAGGTACACAAATGCTTCTGGTCTTCTAGCATATTATACAGTGACACTCACAGCAGCCAGAAACTAGAAACAAGTCAAATCCTAATCAACAGATGAATGTGATAAACTGTGAATGTGTGGTTAACGAAAGGTTTTATTTCTATACAACAGATAAAACGATAGATATCATCGATAAAACGATAGACCAGTGGGGTTGCACCATGCATGCATGTCCTACCACAGTACCTGTAAAGTCTCAAGAAAGGAAAGCAATCATTTCAGTCTCAAGTAAAGTCTTCAGTACACTTCCCCCCCACTAACTCCACAGCAGATTTGTTCGATCCCAGCCCGCGCTAGAAACGATAAACAAGTTGAATAAGGATGATCCCACCTCCCGGTGGGTAACTTGTAAGCAAAGTAGCGCTAACCCGGTCTTCTCCCGCGGCCTCTGGGGAATCTCCGGCGCTCTCCCTTTGCAGCCTATACTCCAGGACGCGGATCTTACGGTAGGATCCACTGGGATCCGCCAGGAGCTCCAGGACCACCCGCTTCAGCAAAGAGGCATCACCCAGACTTAGCCTACGCCCTCCCCGGACGGCGAGCCGAGCCCGAGACCTCCGCACCGAAGAAGCTGCGGCTGCTCCCGGGCAAGCGGGTCACTCGGGCAGGCTCCGCCCGAAGAACTGGATGCCCTGCACCTCTGCCTTGCGTCCGGATCTCCCGAAGCCGGTGCTCCAAGCCTTAGCGATCACTCGCCCGAGGCCCTCCTGGGCGCCGCCATCTTGCCGCGCAAGGCCCGCCCTTCCGCCGCTGCACCGCCTTTCAGGTTCCGCCTCGCAGCCTGGCCCCGCCTCCCCGTCGGGACTAGCTCCGCCCACTACACGTCGGCGTTCGGGACTCCCGAGGGCGTGAGTCTGACCCTGGCTTTCGGTGAGCTTAGTGCCCACGCCGAGAACGGCACAGCCTTCCGAGAGACGGCGGCACAGGCCTTTCTGCATATACTATACCGTCCCAGGGGTCCGTAGATGTCCTCTACACTCGACAGCCGGGATAGCCGCATCCCAGAACCCAGCAGCACTCCAGCCCACGCAGAACACGCGGAAACCACCAAGGTGACTTTCCCAATGTGTTTATGGGCGGCCGTGAAAAAGGAAAGGCGAGATCCGAGGAAAGAATAATGATGGAAAGAAGGCAGAAGAAAGCCTGCCCCATTGCCCGCAATCTAATCCCCTTTCAGATCATCCTTTCTTCCTTCACATCAGTCTCTCTGGACTAGGGCTCAGCGCCAAGTGCATGAGACCTAAATTCCATTTCGGCACAGCAGTGAAACAAAAACAAACCCCGAAACAAAAGCAAAAAGACATACTAATGGGACTGGACAGATAATAACAGGAATTAAGGTATTTGCCTTGCTTGCTGCCAACCCCAGTTCATCCCTAGCATAGATTCCCCAGACCAGGAGTGATCCCTGAGCACTGCCAGGTGTGGCCATAAACAACAACAACAAGCATACTGGTTTCCCTTTCTGGAGATTTTTTTTAAAAAAACCTTTTCTTTGCACCCTCAGTCTTCCTTGAGTACTGATTCTAGCTGATCAGTACTTAGAAGCTAATTCTAAGCTATTGCCAACTAACTGTTCCATTTGCTGAACTTTACTTAGAATCACTTGGAATGCCTTACCTAAAAACTGCGTGTTACTCTTTACAATAGCCAGAATCTGGAAAAAACCTGAGTGCCCGAGAACAGATGACTGGTTAAAGAAACTTTGGTACATTTACACAATGGAGTACTATGTAGCTGTTAGAAAAGATGAAGTTAGGAAATTTACATACAAGTGGTACTACATGGAAAGTATCATGTTAAGCGAAATGAGTCAGAAAGAGCGGGATAGACACAGAAAGATTGCATTCATCTGGGGAACATAAAGCAACAAAAAGGGAGACTAACACCCAGGAATGACTGAGATTAGTACCAGGAATTTTGCTCCATGACTTGAAGGCCAGCCGCACGTGCTAGGGGAAAAGGAAGCTCAGATAGAGAAGAGAGCACCAAATAAAGGCTGTTGTGAGGACCCTCCCAGGGTGGGAGAAGCATGCTAAAAGTAGTCTATAGACCAAACATGATTGCCACTCAGTGCCTCTCTTGCAAAACACAGTACCCAAAAGAAGAGAGAGAGAACACGGGGGAATACCCTGCCACAGAGGCAGGGTGGGGGGGGGGGTGGGGGGGATGCTGGGACCCGTGGTGGTGGAGGATGGGCACTGGTGGAGGGATGGGTACTTGATCATTGTATAACTGAAACCCAAGCACAAAAATTTATAAGTCTATAACTATACCTCATGGTGTTTCACTAATAAAAAAATTAAAAATAAATAAAAAGCTCTACCTAAATTGGAAAAAAAACCCTGCGTGTTATACTGGGAATGTATTGCCTACTATCAATTGTCCCTTGTTGTCATTTAATAGTATATACCCAATTTCCTTAAGAATCTGAGTTCTGGGGCTGGAGAGACATTACAACAGGTAAGGTGTTTGCCTTGCAGTGCGGCTGACCTGGGTTTGATCTTTGGCATCCCATATGGTCTCCTGAGCATGCCAAGGAGTAATTCCTGAGTGCAGAGCCAGGAGTAACCACTGAGCATTGCCAGGTGTGGCCCAAAAGGAAAAAAAAAAGAGAGAGTCTGAGTGCTTTGCATCCCCAGCCCAAACTTTTGTTTTATTGTTTTGTTTTGTTTTGTTTGTATCCTTACTGTTTAGCATCCAACACATTACTATGTATATAGGATACTAGGAAAACTGTATGGGCTGGGGGAGGTAAGATGGTGGTTAAGTCACTTGCCTTGCAAGGGCTGACCCTGGTTCCACCCCCAGTCAGCCAGGAGTATGCCTTGAGCACCACCAGGTTTTGTTACCAAATGTAACAAAACCAAAAAGGAAACAAGAAAAGAAAAAGTGAAAATTATCATTTGGTTGAAGACAATTTTAGAAAACCCAGTGGTTCTCAAAGTACAGCAAATGGCAGGGCAACCCTCAGTTTCTCTCTCTCTCTTTTTTTCCACATCCGGCAGTGCTAGAGGCTCCTCCTGGCATTGTTTTCTGGGATCAATCCTAGCAATGCCTGGGGGATCATGTAGTGCCAGAGACCAAACTCAGGTGTCCTAGGCTGGAAAGAATAGAGCAGGTAGGTTTCTTGCCTTGCATATCTAGTTAGTTCCCTAAGCCCTGCCAGGAGTGATCCTTGAGTGTAGAGCCTGCAGTAATCCCTGAGCACTGCTGGGTGTGGCCTCCAAACAAATAAACAACCCCTAACCCTCAAAAAAAAAAAAAAAACCAGGTAAGTATGTTCTTACTTTTGGGGGTGTGGGGGGAGTTGTCTGCCATACTAAGTAACCAGGGCTTACTCCTGGTTCTGTGCTCAGAGACCACTCCTGGCAGTGCTGGGAGACCACATAAAGATATAGTGCCAGAGATTGAATAGGGTCTGCTGTATGCAAGGCAAATGCACACATGCAGTTTCTGGCCCTTTCCTTACTTTCTTTTCTTTTCTTCTTTTTTTTAGAGGTAGAGGTTTGGAGCAACACCAGCTGGTACTTGGTGGCTTCTCCTGGCTTTGTACTTGGTGGGTAGCTCCTGGAGGGAAGTGATGGGGGGATGATGCAGTGTCAGGAATGTGTTTTCACTCTACTGTTTCTCTGGCCCAGTACTGCTTTACTTCTTCACACTACGAGTTGCTCCAAACTCATCTTGCCTCGGTCCTGGAATCAGCTATATAACTAAGAACCCTAAGTTCCTTTTACTGGAAAACAGTATTAGAAATCAAGATTTTTGGGAACAGAAAATAGTTGAAAGGGATGAAGTGAACAGTTTGCATGCAAGGGGTTGAGTTCATTCCCAGACACCACATGGTCCCTAGAGCACTGCCAGGATGACTCTCCCCCTCTCCCACCCCCCTTTCCCTGTCCCCCCAGCAATGCTGGCTGTGGCCCAAAGACAATAAAAAAGAAAGAAGGAAACCAAGATTTGGGTGCTAGATATGCTCATTATACTGGAGTGTCTTATTTTAGACCCTTCTCAGCTGACAAAGGAAGTGTGTGTGTGTGTGTGTGTGTGTGTGTGTGTACTGGCATATATGCATATCTATAAATATTTCTACTTGTACCCGCTGAATTTTACATGCATAAGTAATTTTAAAAGTCTGCTATGGAATGATAGGATAATATTTATATTTGAAAGTAATTATATAGCTAAGATATGCTTTGAAAAACTGCAATCAATAAAAGAGACAGTAGAACACAATTGACTAAGATAACCATTGAAAAGAGCTGGAGCGATAGCACAGCGGGTAGGGCGTTTGCCTTGCACGCAGCCAACATGGCCGACCCGAGTTCGATTCCTCCTCTCCTCTCGGAGAGCCCGGCAAGCTACCAAGAGTATCTCGCCCGCACGGCAGAGCCTGGCAAGCTACCCGTGACGTATTCGATATGCCAGACACAGTAACAACAAAGTCTCCAATGGAGACGTTACTGGGCCCGCTCGAGCGATGAACAACGGGAGGACAGTGACAGTGAACCATTGAAAAAGAATAATGGGTACATGAAGATTCATTGTACTGTTATTTCTACTGTTCCATATGTTAAACATTGACGGTGGGAAATGTACTGGGTTGGAACATTGTATGACTGAAACTCAATCATGAACAACTTTGCAACTGTGTATCTTGTGGTGATTGAATAGAAAAGGGAAAAATGTATCCAAGATCTGAAGCCAGAGAGATAGAGCAGGGGGTAAGGCACTTGTCCTATATGTGGCCAATCCTCTGTTTGATCTCTGGCATCAAATCTGGTCCTCTCAGCACCTCCAGGAATGATCCTTCAGCACCGTGAGAAGTAAGCCCTAGCAGCTCTGGGTGTGGCCCCCAAAACTAACAAAACCAAGGTTAGATGCTACAGACATAACACTGGTTCAGATCCTAGCACCCCATATGGTTCCCCAAGCGGCACTAGAAGTGACCCTTCAACACAGCCAGGCATGATGAGGACAAAGTCAGGTGCAATCACTGAAGGCTACTGAGTATGAACTTTCCCTCAAAAATTTAAAAATATAGGGTGCTGGAGAGATGGCATAGCGGGTAGGGTGTTTGCCTTGCACACGGCCAACCTGGGTTCGGTTCCCAGCATCCCATATGGTCCCCTGAGCACTGCCAGGAGTAACTTCTGAGTATAGAGCCAGGAGTAACCCCTGTGCATCGCCAGGTGTGACCCAAAAAGCAAAAAAAAAAAAAAAAATTTAAAAATCCAGACAGCTACATATAAAGCATTTATATATAGATATGTAGAGAGGTATTTATTTATTTATATACACACCCACACACAGCTACAAATGAAACTTCTCCTCAGGGCTATCCCTCAATGAATCCTCCCAATCTTTCCCCTCACACATGCAAGGCATGTGCTCTGGAGTGTTCCCTGGTGGTGTTCAGGGGACCTTATGCAGTGATAGGGATTCAACCAGGGTGGCCTACTCAGTAGCCACATGCAAGGCAAGTGCCTTACCTCTTGTGTTATCTCTCTAGTCCTCTAAGTGGAAAAAATTATTTTATTTTGTTTTGGGGCCACACCCAGAGGTGCTCAGGGTTTACTCCTGGCTCTGCTTAGTGATCACTCCTGGTCGGGCTTGGTGGGTCATATGTGGTCGCAGGGATTGAACCCAGGTTGGCTGCATGAAAATTAAGTGCCTTAGCTACAGTATTCTCTTTCCAGCCCCTCTTCCACA